GTGTTGTTCTGACTGATCTCTCTAACTCTCTCTCAGATGCCAGATGGACAGATCATCCAGTATGAGCACGACGGGGCCTTTGTGCAGGAGCAGCAGGTGAGGCAGGTCATCTAAAAGGCTCTACAGTGAGAGTGGTTTATTTTGACAAAAGCTCATTGCTCCGTGTTTTTCATGTGTTCAGATCGCTGTGAGTCATGACGGTCAGATCCAGTATCTACCTGTCAGCTCGGAGCAACAGATAGTGAATCCTGAAGATCTGGAGGCTGCTGCTCACTCTGCTGTCACAGGTTGGCTCTCTTAATTAGCAGATCGCAATGAACTTGTTTTATATTCAGTCCGCCACTACATTATTAGATTGTTTATAATTACAATGGATGGATTGATGGATGTTTCTAAGTTTAAAAACTGCCTTTGACTCCCTCTCATATTGCTATTAAAATCTGTCAGATCAGATAACAATATCCATACGGAAATGAAATATATGTAGATATAAAATAAAAGCACATATGTAAAAATTACTATGAAACCTATTAGAAGTTGGAACAATTTAATTTATTGACATTTATGTCCAGCCCATCATTGAGTCTTTTTCTGTTTTCTAATCTATTTTCGATTTAGTCTTTTTCTTTCAATTTGTGTTATTACAGTCTCCTAATGCAGTTGAGAGCAGGACCCATTTTGATGGTGTGTTTCAGGATGCTCTCACACAAAGCTGAGAGTCAGCTGTCAAACAGCATGTCATTCATAACATCTGATGTAAATGCCTTAAAATCAAAAGCTCGCTCTTGGCCAGCCTTGTTCATAAGAGCTGATTTTTAGAGCTTTTTTGAAAGCACCATCATGGAGGCGAGAACAGTTTTAGGTCTCTGGAAGTTGATTTTCAAACTTTAGTAAAATGATTGATAACAGTTTGCTCCCTGAAATGCAGAAAATCAATTCAATTCAATGCCTTTATTGTCATTGCACAGTGTACAGTGAAATTACTGTCTCCAGTGGTACATACAGTAATACATACTGTACATAACTATATACAGGAACATATACTACAGTAGACACACTGCAATCTGTATAAATAGTTAAAAACAAACAATAAATAGTAAAAAAAACAGAGGTACAAAAGCAGACCATGAGTCCATGCACTCCGTTATTATTGCACATAGGTGAATGTTGTGTGTTTTATGCTGGATATACACCACTTATAGATAATGGGCAAACAACATGCTCAACAACAGACAGGGTCCTTTAGGCAACCAGGCTAACTATGAGTTTAACAATAACATGAACTATGGAATCACCATTATGAAAATCAATAATAACTACAACACTCTGACAGTGAATCAAACTAAGTGGGTAATCTTTGTTGTTGTAGCAGTAGCAGAGGCAACAATGGCACAGACCCAGACCGTCTACACTGAAGCTACACCTGAACAGCTGGAGCAGCTGCAGCAGCAGGGCATCCACTATGATGTCATCACCTTCACCGACGAATAGACGTCTTTTTAAACCCACCACGGTACAAACCTGCGCCGACCAGGACCAATACGAACCACTATGAGCTGACAAGTACAGTGACCTCAACTTATTTATGCACTCAGCTGGCTGTGAACTAAAGCATTATGTCCTCCACAGGATCATCTGCTCGGGGCAGTTGCACCGTTTAATAAGATCAACAGCTTTTTGTAAATTCAGATTATTGCACCCATCGCTTCTAACTTAATCATAGGGGCTGTGCATTTAACAGTTGGTCTGTAATTATTAAAAATTATTTGTGTTCATGTGCCTCAACTGCTTCGATTTGCAAGACAATGTTATCAAAGAGAATGAAATGGCTTATATCATGTTTTAGAAAATTTACCGAGCATCTAAATGAACATTTCAGTTTTCAAATAGAGGGAATGAAAAAGGAGTGTTTATTTTTGGCCTGTAATAACATATGTTAATTGTTAGAATGCCACAACTTTGTCTTTACTGAATATTAAATTGTACATACCTTTTGCATTTGTTTTCTGTTCCATAATGGAGGATATGTTTTGATTTAGTCAATATGAAGTGTTTAATAAGCTGAAAGCTGACACCAAATAAATCACTTTGTGTAAACTTTGTGTATATTATCTATTTTGTCCATTAATGCTAGAGCGTACTCTAATGACTTTTGATATCTATAAGCTATTTATAATGTGTTATATTCTATCTATATATATATATATATATATATATATATATTCAAATATTGCAACAGACATTAAAACAAAGTCATTCCAGTACAATCACTCTACAAACAGGAACAGATACAGCTCTACAGTCACTGTGACACAGTTTGTGGTGTTACTTTGCATCACAATGTGCTAATGACAATTTAAGCTTGTGCAACATTTGTGCAAGAAAACATATGGCTTTGATGCAATAACAGAAATATAGAGACAATGTAAAGCAATCCAACACAACTACACCATAAACTACAACTTCAGAAATGTTCTCTCCTGTGTTCTGTGTCCGAATTTAAAAAAGAAGTTAAAAATGAAAATTTATGCCACAACATTTCTCAAAGGGCTGGTAGTTTGTTTGTGCTTCCCAGCTGATGCACTGACAACTTCCTCATCTTTCATCGGTAAGGAGGAGCCTCAGATCCTCTAAAAAGAGTAGAAGACTAAAAAAAAGAAAAGTGCTGAGACTCAGTCAACATTACTCTGAAGATGAAGTTTTCCTTTGTCTTTCTTCTTTTATTAGGTATGAAAAACAAACAACTAAATGTTGTAGTTTTCTGTTTTCCAGTGCCTGTACTGACCTATTGATGAGAAATGTTTGTTTTCCAGATGTCCCTCATCTGAGAGGGCAGCAGAAGATTGAAGAGTTTGAACACATTTTGCTGAGACTTGCCTTCCCTTCAATTTACAATAGTCACAACAAGTCCTGCTGTAAACTCTATCCAGGAGGTTGTTACAAGCTGGTGGATAGCACAGGATACACCTGTGAATTACTGAAAGGAAGAGTCACAAAAACGGAGAAGGACGGCTGGATTGAATTCAAAATATCAAACGTGCAGTTTGCGGATGGAGGCTTCTACAGATGTATTGTGCAGGGAACCCAAAACCACATCTACAGGGACTACTATGTGGAGGTCTCAGGTAAGTATTCTCATGATTTTCATTAATGTGATGTTCTGTGTTATGCAATAGCCTCTAGTGTGCCCAATAACACTTGGGCGAAAACTGCATTACAACAGCTTCATGAGACAAATGTTGATTTGCAAAATAGTTTTTCAGTGTAGTTTTTCCCCCTGTGTTTGTGGAGGAGAAATCCCACCGTAACTCAAGCCATTAACTCAGGAAGCTTCTGTGATATTTTTGTATTTTGCAGATGCTTCAAGTCACCACAGTCAGTCTCAGCCTGCACTGCCAACAACCATCACAGTCCTCAACACCTCCACAACACTCCCAGACTCCACTGGTCCTGCTCTGGCACAGGACCACAGGGACAGTCCCAGGTACTCTCTCTGTAGATTACTCATTTTCTGATATTTCTTTCTGACTGAAGGGGAACGTGGGATTATCTCAATTATGTGTCCTGTCTCCTTCCCAGGGTCCCCTGGAGTTTTGGCCTGCCGCTGGCTGTCATTGTGTCCATTTCAGTCATGATTTTGATCACTTCGGTTATTGGCGTCGTTTGCTTCAGAGTGAAAGCAAACCGTAAACCGTCTGGTAAGCAGTTTCCTTAAATTGGATGATCTGAATGTTTCTGAAAGAACACATTCAAAAATATTCACAGCGTGATGTTGTTTGTCTTTGCAGACAGATGTGGAGAAACTCTGTGTGAGTCACTGAAACAAGAGGCCCCGGTAAGTGCTAAACTGGGAACGTAGCCTCTGTGACTCACTGTCACTGGCTTTTAAAAGCAGATTGAATGTTTATGATGCAAACTTCCTCTACAATCCCGTCTCTTGACAAAGTTTGTCTCCCCCAGGAAATGAGTGGCATAGTCTACACCACGGTGGACTTCAGAGCTCACGAGAAACCCACCGAGGTGTATGCAAACCTAAGGATGCCCAAAACACAAGCTGCTGACACCGAGCGGGCTGACATGGTGGAGTACTCCACACTGGCAATCCACCAGTGAATTCATGTGAAAGCTTCGTTAGGTTCTGATTTTAACGTGGGACTGAATCTGTTAGTGACACCACTGTGTTTTTAAAGGGAACTCCGTTGATTGTACACATACATGTCAGTTCAATAGTCAGGTTTAGCACTTCTCAGCCTGTGCACAGTTTGAAACACATTTCCCAGGCAGAGAGGGTTTAACAAAAATGCATTATGGGAAATTAAGGGTCCGGCCTTGTTAGATCCAGACAGAGCTTGAACCACACAAGGGACAAGGCATCTTGGCTTCTGCTGCTTTTATTTGAACTTTTGTCACTTTTGAGTTCCCTGTTTTTTTCTAAGAGTGTAATGTCAAATCACTGAACTACCATTTAAAATGTACATAACAGGAGCTTTTAGTGAAATTGATTGAAGGCATTAAAATGAAATGGTAATGGAATTAAAGAAATGATCTCCCTTACAATAATGCACACGATCTGGTGAAAGGTTGTGTTGGTTTCCTTGTGGTTCTCTCTTGTTTAAAGGGTGAGATCAGGTCGTGTCATCAGTTTATCTTTTCTTATATCAGTGTTTGTCATCATCAGCTGGCCCTCTGTTGTTGTGGGAGCCGCTCGATATCTATTCTCGGCTTGTTCTTCCTTTGCACAAAAAAGCTGCTGGCAGTCCCTTTGGTATCATCTATAAAAGATCAGCTTTCTCTGAAGAGAGATTGAATGAATAGACCGGAGTGATTCTTATTCCTGTGACCTTTCAGTGCAACACTGCACCACAGAACGACTGTGACTAAAGATGTTGTTAAAGATGTTTTTCTGCACTGATATAGGATCTTGGTTGTAGCCACCACAGTCAGACTGACACACACACACACACACACACAGAATGTTTTAGTTGCTACAATCTCTTTAATGCAAAGGTAATACAACATGTTGATGTCTGTGTTGTTCACAGTGTCCCATTTGCACCCTTCTTTTGTTCAGTCTTCAATCAAATAAGCCCCTACGGGGAAATACACACCTACAGATTATTCATCTGGTGTCTTATTTGATTACACAGACTTGGCCAGACCGATGTACTGAGCCTGGGCGTTAAAGATGGCATAGTACTCCCTGATGAAGACATCTCCCAGGATCCAGAGCTGGTCAGAGCCACCCTGGCCAAAGCCAGTGTTGCAACCGTAGTAGCTCTGTGTTGAGAAGAGAGAAAACATTTTTTTAATTCACTCAAATCTTCATTGTAGTGCTGAGAACTTTTATGTTGCAGTGGGCGGCGGCTGGGGTCTAACTGACCTGAGAGACGTAGGCAGATGCAGGGACGGTGAAAGCGTGTCCGTTGAGAGTGAAGGTGACATCAGGCATGTTCTGGATGTTCTGGCAGTTCACTATAGACTGTGAGAAGAACATCATGCACAGAGTTGAAGACCACGTAGCAGCAGAAGTTCTATTCATTGCTGCAGCTGAAGCAAGTAACCGAGTCCTGCTTAATTATTTTTACTTGAGAGTTTTGACGTCAGAGCATTAAAAGTCTGTTTACTCTGAGTTCAGGGAAAAGGGAAAGTCTATGTCAAATGGTATGGTATGATGGTATGACTCACCTCTCCGTACTGGTTGGTTGAGGCTCCAACCCAGGCGTTCATGTTGTTGATGTCAGAGGTTGGGCCAACGATCAGGGAGGTGCCAGTGTCAATGATGGCCTGGCAGCCACCGGAGCAGGCCACAGTCTGTCCGTTGATGGTAACACTGGGAGAAGGAAGAATAGAAGGTTGATTACAGTCAAGCCAGAAGGCTTTGTGCCACTTATGTTTACTGCCAATATTCTGCATGTGATAAGGTAATCAACAGTTTTGGTCTGAGTCACTGATTTTGGATGCATTTCTGTGTACCTGTCCATTTTGATCTGCCAGTAGGTGGCAGAGGTCAGAGGGATCCAGGTGACTTGTCCAGTGTAGTGGTTGCTGTCAACACCACCGAAGACCACCTCACTGCCCTGCTCACTGTGGCTAAAAGAGAGAAAAAAACAAAACAATGAGTGAATTTCATGTAAAAATGACTCACACGCTCCCAACCAACAGATTTCCATCCTGTCTCAGTACCTGCTCAGGTAGACGGAGAACAAGGGCTGGGACACGAGTCCCTGGTTGATCATGTTGTCAAAGACAGGCACGACGTCGTCAGAGGCAATGCTCTGGAAGGCCAGTCCCAGGATGCCATCAGCCACCATGTGGGCCATGAAGGGAGCCTCTGTCTGGCTAATTCCAAACACCTGGTTGGACACAGTGATACCGCCCACCTGGACACACAAGACAGCTGTCAGTCACGAGTTGAACAGACCGCGGTGATACTGTATGCCTGCTTGAAGTCTAAATACGCTGTGCATTCTGTTCCAGCGGCTTTGTTTACCTCAACAATGTCGCTGGCCAGACGTCCAGTCATGCTGCCAGTGCCGTACTGGATGGACAGAGGCTGGCTGCCCCACTTGAAGGTGGAGGACTGCTGTGGGTTGAATTTCTTGTGGTTCTCTGCAGAGGGACAACTTCTCTTTCACATGTGCATTTTATGACAATTTCAAGCAACTTGGATCTTTTACTGAAAGATCTCAAAGTAAAAATACTCAGTAGGAAATAAATACAATGCTATCAAATTTTTATCTAAGTAGAAATACAGAGTTATTAGCAACAAAACATACTAATATTGCAGAATGGATCCTGTCAGCTTTATATAATCATATTTATGGGTTATTATTGCTGATGCATCACTATGCATGAAACATTTCAGTGCAGCTGGTCAAATGGGAGTTTTTACTACATTAGTTTATACAGCCTACAGTTTATATAAGTAAGCATTTCAATCTACAACAGTCTATGCTATGTGTTGTATTCAAACTGTCCATTGATCTCATGTAATCATTTAGCAATTTTGTCAATTTTTGCCATAAAGTAACTTGAACCTGAAGCTGTGAAATAAATGTAGTGTAATGAGTAAAAGGTATATGCTAGAAAACATATAGTTAGTCCATCTGCTGGAAGCATTATCAGCAAACATTTAAATCCCCCAATAGTCCACAAACTGCCTGAACAGCAGCCTGGGCTGCAGCAGTAATCTCAGCGGTACTCACGGCAGGCCTGGCTGGAGCAGTAGACGGAGGGGATCCACAGGTTGGAGGAGCCAGTGTCAAAGATGACGCTGAAGGACTGAGGAGGGGTGCCAATGGAGATCACGCCATAGTAGGACAACTAGAGGGACATGAGAAGGCATGTGGCAGAGATAAAGATCAACATCAAGTTGATTCAAATGTTACAGCAGCTGTGACAGAAGCACAGTAAGTAGATGTTTCTTGACTTCATATTGAACCGAATCTAAATCTTCTGCTCTGGACTCACGTCAGCATCGTTGGTCATGCCCTCAGTACCAGACTGGATGAACTTGCTCATTGGGGTGTATGGGTACTTCTTCCTGTACTCATCCCACAATCCTTTCTCCTGCAGGGCTTGCCTGGCAGTCTTGCCCTTGATCAGGGGCATCCTACACACACAGCAAAGTGGATAAAGAATCAGCAAAATGCACATATGTCTGCCATCGTATAGCTGAAGACTTTAGAAAATAAGCTCTGCTTTCAACTTAGCGCCGATCTGAAAGGTGTGATAGCTCAAAGCAAGAAGCAGCACGATGGCCTTTAGATTTTCCCTCAGGAATACTAGATGAAGAGATTGTCTTCCAACAGTTCGTTCAGGTGTAAAATGTCAAAGAAATGACGGTGCAGGTTGCTTCTCAACCGGCCACATCAGACTTACTTATGGAGGCATTCAGAGAAAGCCACGAGGGCCGACAGGACAACGAGCCACTTCATCATGTTGGTCACTTTGCTGCTGGACTCAGACGAGTGAAGTTCAGTCACAGAGTTCAGCCCTTTATATACAACACATTAAGGTTATGTCTCCAATGTGCCCTTCCATATAACTTGATATCATGTATCAGCTGGAGATAAGAAATATGTGATATGGTTATAAATTACGTCTTATCCAGAAGCAAATATACCACTGAAACAAATGAACACTGATAATCAGGAAAATATTTTGCAGAGAGAATTTACTGAAAAACCAAGTTAACTTGGACATTGTTGAAACACACTGAAGAAAACAGTTGAGCAAAATGAATTGATTAGGAGGTTTCTCAGAGGACTGACTTCTATCATCTAACAGGTCATTTGAATTTACTAAAGCAAGAAAAGTGCACGTTTAATGTGCTGATATGTAGATTAGGCGACCTGATGTCCAGAGCCTTTGTTTAACATCGATATGGAAACTTTCCACGGGTTACCAAAGGTGTGAACTGAGGCTTATCTGATAACAATGACACACAAACCAAGACACAGAGGGGAACGGCTTGTGGTGTGAACAAAGAATAAAACAATGCTCAGTGCATTTTAAGGAGCTTACTCAAATTCCAGAGCATAAGTTGCAGTTTGACTTTGACTGGAAAGTTTGTTTCATATTTACACAGTTAATATTACACATTGAATCTAATTTTAAAACCATTTTTATACTGATTCCACAACCTTTTTGTAAGTGAATTTATCCCATGAAATACCGATGGTAACCTTTATCAAAGCACAATAGCTGAGGACGTATTCAGACTCTTTGCGTATAGATATTGATTGTAAATTTAATCATGCAGAAAAAATGGCTCCTGTCGGTGTAATGTGTGTTATGTCTTTGGACAGTTATCATTAGTTATGCATGAATGTGTAAGCAGCATTTTATTTTGCACATGGCTGAAGCCGAGCTACTCTTAAATTCATATATTATGAGCAGATGAATCTATAGCAAAGCTCGGCATTTCATAAGCTCATCAAAGGTTTTGTACTTGATCTGCAAAATAACAATGACTGTGTAATGAAGGAAAAAGTACAATAATGCCCTAGTATTTAGTAGTATTAATAATACTTCTAATATAAACAACAACAACAATAATAATAATAACAATAAATGAAAGGATTCTGTCTGTTGTAAAGACATTAAAATTGCACAAAAGGTACTCTTGTTCTCACTTCATATAACAAAGACATATCCTTATCATGTAAAAGGATAAAATTGCATCGTCTGGTATGGTAGCAGCATCTGTGCAATGAGGTCGCAAAAGTTCATTAAACTTTCTTTCAAACCAGGTTGTGCACAAAAATACGACATCACATCACTGCATCATTAATTTTCTTTTCTTTTTTTTTTTTCTTTTTTTTTTACTATCCAGAGCTTGTCAAGATCCATATGTTAGTGAAAAAAACTCTTGGGAATGTTATGAAAAATGAATTATTTTCCTGAACCTAAATCTTCTGTTGGGAACGTTGGTGGTGGAACGTGGTGTATTTACCCTTTAACTGACATCTGCACAAATCAAATGTTTGGCACAAGTCAGATGCCTTTAGTCATCAGTTCAGTTATATAGCAAGGTCACATGTGCTCGAGAAGGCACAGAGAATCTGATTATGATTATGACCTTTATCATAATCAGACTGTGATTAAAACCATTTGATACTTCCATCCCATAACACACATAATGTTTAATCAAGCAACACAAACTGAGCACAGAAAACAAAAAAACCTTCCGCAGAGGACACATCACATGACACACAATGTTGTTATAATACTTTTATTGACAATTATATCTACACATTTCTCTTCATAAATTAACATAAAATGAGCATGAAAATAAAACAGCAAATGTTTTACAGCTTTACAAATAACCTTGTTTTCATTAAGTAAATCTGTGTTTTTTGTTGATTGGTCACAATGCCCTGCCATCTCCTCTCCTGTCCTCTTGGTGTGCATTAAGAGAATACAAACTATATATTATAGTGCATAGAGTACACAAATGAAGAATACAGTCAGTAAAGATGAAATGTGCATTTTGGATCCACAGCTTGTTCAACTCTTCACTCTGAAATATCGTTTCTGCCGTGCTCTTCTTCATCTGAATGTTTAGGCGTCCATTAAAAGTCCATGTTTTTGAAGTCATCAGTACATCTATACTTGCTATCAGCGTATCTGGTGCACACCAAGTGAGGGACACAGGGGCAGGTGTGATGCTGCCTTTTCCCTGGATATGGCACCTGAAAGTGGAGGAAAAAAAAGGGGAGGGGGGAAATAATCTGACAGTGTAAATCCTTCATCAACTGACAGGTGGAGCGGCAGGTCTGAAAAAAAAAGCTGCTCTTTAAAAGTCTGAATCCGGAGACGGATGTGGTGTTAGCAGAACTAACTGTTGCCATCTCCAGATGATCGCAGTGATGTATGGCTCTGATCGCCCGCTTCTCTGTGGAGAAGATCAATAGCCTCTGCAGTTATCAGCAGCTTTTCTAAAGCTTCAGCCAACCTGCCAGCACTTGATAAAATCTGAACTTCAAGTGTGTGTGTGTGTGAGTGTGTGTGTGTGTGTGTGTGTGTGTGTGTGTGTGTGTAGCAGAGAGTGTGATGCAGGTTGGATGGATGCAGATTAGTAACATGACATTTCTCCCCACCTTGTGGCTGAAGGGATGGCATTCATCCCCTTCCACGCCTCTTGGGACGCACATCCTCAGCCCTCTCAGCCACAGACTGACAGCACAGCAAAGACCAAACCCGCACTGCACATCTCTCTCACAGGCCTGAGGACAGACACAGAGAGACGAGGTGGTACAGACAGAAAAGAATAAAAGAGACGGAGAGAGATGAAGAGGAGGGCAGTTCTTTTAATGCCAGTGAATCAGTTTTATTTTTATTAATGCTAATAGAGATACCCTTTTGTGTTTGAATATTTCATTTTTATTTATTGTAATAGAGATACCCTCTCATGTCCGTACAGTGAAAGCCATTTTATCCATCGCCTGTCATCTCCCTAATCCATTTACAAATGAATATCAATCAGAGGACTGAGATAATTTCCTCTCGTTTTTCCAGTGGACTTGAAGCGGAGGAGGATGTGGTCTCTCATTAGTCATGTGTAATCAAATTTTATAAAATTATCCACCAAAGTGAGCTGTTGTGTTTCCATTAAAATATAGTTTATGTGAATTTGTCATTTCAATATGAGAAAATCAAACCAGAAATCAACAGTCTTGTTGAAGTAAAACAGAGTTTTGAGCACACTTCCCTTTGTATAGACTGAAACAATTAGTCAATTATTGATCTGTCAACTGCAAACAATTTAATTTATCAAGCAAAAAGTCAAAACATTTCTCAGCAGGTGAAGATTTGCTGTTTTTTTCTGTTTTATTTTGTTGTGAATTTAATCTTTGATCGATCAAACTTGTGATGAGCACCGTTTTACATGTTGTAGAATAACTTCATTGTGTGATTAATTGAAAAAAAAAATGAAAAGATCATCATATAATAAAAATAATTGTTAGTTGCAGCCATAGTAAATAAGTGAGTAATTGCAGATAATTGCAGAAAGAGACGATAATAACAATGTAAAATCTAATTAGATAGATAAGTAATTAGTCATTTAGAGGAATTAGACAGTCCTTTAAGAACTGATCACATGAATCTAAAACCTGATAAAATCACAGACTGAACAGTGTGCAGCAGAGCCGGAAACTTGTCACTCACCCCTGTGATGACGGCTCCTCTGGACCAGCTCAGAGACACCAGGAGGAAGGACAGCAGCACGGCCGTGAAGCCCATGACAGCGACAGGAGAACTGGACTCTCTCAACACCCTCAACCCTGGACAACAGCTGTTACCGGGCTCTCCGACACCTCACACTGGATCCCCGACTCTCCAGTCAGTCATGAAGGTTCCCAGAACTCCTCAGAGGGGGGTGGGGTGGGGTTGGGTTGGGGGGGCGGGGGGGGGTGGGGGGTACAGCACTCTCTCCCTCTCTTTATCCACCTCCGACTCCCACCCAACACTCCCTCCCACCCTCCCCATGCCCGAGATCTCCCCACGCCCTCTCCGGCTGTCTCCTCAGACGCTTCGTCATCTTCCTCATCTGGATGATGGTGATGGAGGGTCACTGTAGCCCTCTGTAGACCTCTGCCTGTTACATACTGTAGGGTTTGACCAAACATCTGTTCAAGGCACAAGCTGACAGAGTTTCCATGACTCAAGTGGTTCAAATAAGTAACACAAAAAATATGGAAAACTCCTCCACAGTTGATGGCATTCATATGAAGTGAAATGAATCTGACACCTGTTGGTGAGAAAAAGGGCACAAGTGCCACGATATCCTGACTTATTTGTCAGTGTAAGGAAGCCCGGGCAAAACAAATCAACATCAGAGCCATATAACCAGGTTACTGAAATTACCACAGGCTGACTCATGGACTGTGCTTCACGTAGAGCATTTAAATGCTGGGAAGTGATATTCTTTATTTTATCATAGGATATCTGTGCCAGGATGCCATGTACTGTGACAGCTTTCATGGACCTTAGCTGTACATCATCTGTTCATCCACAATGAGAGAATAAGGCAAATAAGGTTACAAACTAATCTGCCTGTGAGGTGTATGATTTCTTTAAACATTAATGTCAACAGTAAAATATATTACTTCTGCTCAGAACCTGTCAGATGTGGTCTTTCTTTTTATTACAACAATATCTTTATTTATTTTTAGAACAGTTTAGCACTCCACATGTGACTGCACGTACACATGCCTGTAGAACATCTGTACATACAAAGCAACCACCAGAACATAATACTCCCACCCCCAACCCTGCAAAACATACAAAGACAAAATAAGTAATTACAGAATAAAGGAAAAAAATTATATAAGACTGTCATACACCCATACGCACTTGGATATGTGGTCTTTCTGAGTGAAAGAATAACTTGCTTTGGTTTGTCTCCAGGTTAAAATGGTGCTTCTTTTACTATATCGCTATTTGCATTTATTTCACTTGAAAACAAATGAACCATGCTACTGAAGGTTTAATACTGCGAAAAGAATTTAGAGACTGCTTCTCACTACCCACACTACCACTGACAGTGCGCATTAAGCTATAGTGTGACTAAATTGATACCAGAATATGAATAATGAGTCTTGAAATCTGTGAATTATAACAGTCATTATACAGTGTATGGCAGAGTGATGATACACTGACGCAAGAGTTAGATCTCTATTTTGGGTCTAGCTCATCTCCAGATTTACTGTGGTTGTAAAGTGGCCATAACTAATAATGGGATCTAGTGTTTATGCCAACCTCCCTTTATACAAGATTAAAGATCCTGTGTGTGTGTGTGTGTGTGTGTGTGTGTGTGTGTGTGTGTGTGTGTGAGACAGGGGAAGAAGATATCACGTGTACGTGGACCATGACAATTATTCTGCATGCATAAACTTGCATTTGTACATTTGTACGTGTTGGCCTACGTGCACGCACCGACAGTGATGGGCAGCAAGTTGTCAGCGGAAGCGGCCGGGTGCTGCTGATTTAAGCTGTGAGAGGAGAAATATGAGTGGAGGAAGAGGAGAGGAAAAGATAGAAGAATGGGGGGGGGGGGTCAGGGGGACTAACCCCATGGGTTAGTCAGCAGGACATTACCCTGCTGCTGTGCAGGTGATGGATTCCTCCAATGCCGTGGCCACATAATTACATTCACCCATTTCTGCCTTGTCAGCAGGAGCACTGGAGCCTCACCGTCTTGGACAGGCAGCAGAAATCATGCAGGGAGGTGAGCCAAGGCAGTGGCCTGCAGCTAACTTCTGAAGAAAACACATTAACAAGATCCATCAACAAAAGGCTGCGAGAAACAAGGTTCCTGCTTTATACTAGTAATATTAATACCATTTCTTATGTCCAATAAAGCGCATACATTGGTTTTCTGTGTTTATCATACTGAAAAATGTTTCCGCCAGTCTGTTATGATTGGGATGGTGTCCAAAAAAAGTCAAATATGACTCAGGAACATGTGACAATGGAGCTGTTCTAGGCAACTTCAACTTATTTGTGAATCACCAGATTGTGACCGCCTGTGCAATTCTCCAAACAAAGTGGCAGCTGGACTATCAATAAAGATTATATCATCAGGAGGCAAAAAAAAAAATAACCCAGGTAATCTAATTTTATATTTATAGATACATTTTGATATAAAGTAAATATCAAAATCAATTTCTTAGCGTGGTTGGAATGAAAAGAGTGGCATATGAATGATGAAATATAGATGCAGGGTTTCATTACATAACTGATCCACTTTGGAAAACCATTTTAGTTCCCTAACCACATAGAAGAAGCCAGGAATAATAATTACATCTACTGTGTATTAAGCTTATATATCAAATGCTGAGAGCAGAGTATGAAATCTCGGTAGGATAAATAAACACTACCCAATTAGTATCTATCTATCTATCTATCTATCTATCTATCTATCTATCTATCTATCTATCTATCTATCTATCTATCTATCTACAGCAGTCTCCACTGTCAGGACTGTTATATACAGTACTATAGCTCGCTTCGTGCTGTTTGGTCCTCACAGACACCCATAGAGCATGTGACGATCAGCTGACTCCACCCGGAAGCTTTGAGGAAGCAGGCAACCACAACAACAAATCTTCATCAACAAAACTTGAATTCCTCGCGTTATTTACGTCTGTTAATCATGGAGTCGACCCTCGAACAGCATCTGGATGATACGTGAGTCAATACCAGAGTGTGTTTGAGTTCGTGTGTAAAATGTTGGCACGTTAAAGACGACTTCTCGCTTTTGTGTGTGTTTTCGGCAGCATGAAGAACCCAGCAGTTGTCGGTGTGCTCTGCACGGATCAACAAGGACACAACCTGGGCTGTAAGAAAACCCCGAGCTAGATACTATATGAGCTTTACAGGGAAGTGCTTCTCAGCATGTGTTCACAGCAGACTGACTGAGTAAAACCATTCATCAAGCGGAGCTTAAAGTGAACTGTCGTTTGCTCCTGTAAAATCACTCCAAACACAAGGAGGCCTATAGATCATTTTCAGAATAAATCAGAATACATTTTCACCCAAAGCTTTCATCTCAAGCTAAAATAATACATCATACTTTATTTGTTGATAATATTTTGTATTTGTAATCAGAATATGCAAAGTAACAAGTAACTAAAGTTGTTAAATGTAGTGGAGAAAAAATTACAATATTTGCCTCTAAATTGTAGAGAACTTAAGTACAATACTTGACTGAATGTACTTAGTTATTTTCCACCACTGGTTTTCTATACATGAATAGCACAAACAACCTCCTGATGATGTGGTTTCATACGACCATGAGTCATCATTTGTCCCATATTTGTAATATTTGTCAGTTGTTTACACACATTTGTGTGAAACTTTCAAGTTCAATCAACACGTCGTTTTGTACCGAGCAGCCCAACATTTGATTTCTCCAGCACCAGGAAGTTACTCACTCACAGCATTTAACTTATGTGTCAGAAGGAAAATTATCAACCTGATTATCACAGCCACCAAAATTTGTAATGTCACGTTATCACCACATAAAGCAAGACGTAGGTCTTTGTGCCATTTCTCATGACAACTTATATACAGAAACCCAGTAATTAAGTCAAATATACTCTATAGCAAACTGACAAAAAAAAAGTAAATCACAATATTAATATAATGAAATACAATATAGTTATTGATAGAATAAATTGATAATGGAATAAAGAAGGGAAAGCAATATAATTACATACATATACACATATACACTACCTACACATATATAAGCACATATATACATATGCAATCGCATACATAAATATAGTAAAAGCAGTTAACAAATGAATACTACTGTCAATTCACTGGTTTGTCTTTCAATCTTCACCTTGCTGTGAGAACATGAGTTTTGGATTTGAGAGTTTAACACACTGTTTTCATTTGACAATTGTGCCAAAGCAGCTGACAAGTACTTAAAATGGAAAATATGCCTTTCTAAATTGTATAACATACAAATTGCCACCCATCTTTTTTGGTCAACCTGAGTCATAAGGTTAATCATATTTGCAAAGTTAATAATTTGCTTGTTACTGAGAATTACAAGTGGAGACGTATGAGCTAAATAACATGACCGAGGAAAATAAAATGCTTTACTTGCTGATTAAAAAAATAACAGAGTGTGTTATTTGTGAGCATCACTAGCAATATGTAACAAAGTCAGGTGCAAGACTTATTGTTACATATTGCTAGTGATGCTCACAAATAACTCATATGATCGTCACACTGCTAACTAAAATCTGGATACCCACCTTTTCTGTGCATTACTGACTACCACCAAGTTTATTGGGTTTTTCTATTGAACCTGTTCTTACTTTAGCATTATTTCCACCTGCAAATATCTGTCCTGAATGATCTGTTCACACTGAAGACATTACAACTGTAAATGCACCCAGCACGCACTGAAGATGTAACCACCTTCAAAAGATGCATTTGGTCACATAAACTTCAAATTACACAACTCTGATTTCACACACCGCACATCCAGAATGAGAATATGCAGGCGGCTCGCACAGGAGTGTCTTGGATTGTCACAGATTTGTGGATGACGACAAGCTTGTTAACTGTCAGTGTTTGTGCAATTAAAGTGTGTGGTCTTGCCAAGAATTACACGAGAAGGTCAAATAGCGCTCTCATGTCTGTAAATATGAAGCTACTGCCTGCAGCCAGTTAGCTTAGCTTAGTTTAGCTGTTGGACAGTAAACAGTGGGAAGCACATAGCCTGGCTCCGTCCAAAGTTGCCAAAATCTGACTACTGGCACATGTGAAACTGTAACTAAATAACACAGGAGATCTTGTTTGTTTAATCAATAGAAAAAAAACAAATTGTAAAAATGCGAAGTTGTGGAATTACAGTGTTATGAGCTGAACTTTTCCTTTTTTTTTTGCCTCCTTTTTGACTCAATCATTGTCTCCTTGATCAAAAAGATGAAAAATCATTTAACGTGTGATAAAATCAGATGTTCTCAGATGATAAATGCAGCTTTCAGCTTTAGAGGCAAAAGACAGAAGTTGCAAGTGAGATGGATGCTGTTCAGATAACGCTGGAGAAGGTTTAACTGTCAGTATGTTTTCTTCAGTCCTGCTCAGTGACATTCCTTTATATTTCACAACCACCAGGCCGCGGCTCCCTGTCTGATGAACATGGTGGTGTTGTGTCAGTTCTGGCCAAACAAGCTGCAGCTCTCACCAGAGACCCAACAGACACTCCGACTGTGTGCCTGGAGTCGGAGTCAGGGTGAGCACTGACACAACCTTTTGTCTTTTTTTTTTTTTTTTTTTTTTTTTTTTTGCTTGACTGACTCCCGCCTGTCGTCCCTCCCTGCAGTTTCACTGAATATAAGAGGTTTGTCTGTGGTGGTGTTGATGAATACTTGAGCAGATGAGTAAATCAAAGTCTTGGCAGATGAGCTTATTTTCATTTGTGTGGCTGTGCTGCCACCTTCTGGGCTCTGCAAAAAACCTCATCTGCTGAACTGTGTCTCCAACCACTGACTCCAACTTCGAACAATACTCATGATTATCAGGAAGAAGTCATTTTAAATGTTGGACCTTAGTGCCTGTTGCTTTGTTGTGTCAACCCAGGTGTAAATGAATGACTTAATGACCGGAGCAGACATCACGTTTCAGTGGCTGAGGGGATCATTCTGTTCTGATCATTAGTGAGGAGAGAGCACATCAGTCATGTTTTAGCTGCCCTGCACTGGCTTCCTGTATACGAAGGCCTCGGTGAGGACCAAGCTACATCGCTAACTCCCTGATTAGCTATGTACCTCCAAGAACACTGAGGTCATCTACTGCTGCTTTATTGAAGGTTCCCAGCAACAGCTGTAGAAAAATTGGGGATGCAGTCTTGGTCAGTTACGGCCCTTAGCTGTGAACCACACTCCCTGTACGTATCAGAGAAGCAGCTCACTAAGTATCTTTAGAGGAAAGCTCAAAACTTATTTCTTCACTTTAGCCTTTAACTAGCTCTGAATTTCTGCTCTTTGCTCTGCATCTATGCACCGCTCAGCGCTTCGTTTAAATGTCCTCTTATTTAATGATTTAATATTTTATTCCTTATTTTATCTCATTTTACATGAATGTTTTTAATGTTTTTCATTTTAAATCAAAGATCAGTGCTCCACATGTTTTTATGTTCTTTTTATGTCTTTTCATGTGAAGCACTTGGTGCATTTCATTTCTTTGTTGTAAAGCAGTTTGTGCTACATTTCTTGGTGCTTTATTATTATTATTATTATTATTATTATTATTAGTGATCAAAAGCTATTAGAAATTAATCAGCTGATAAGTTTCAGTGTGAGTTTGAACTAAATTAGAGTTTAAGGCCAATGTCCTCTTTATACATTTATACAACTGCCTTTATACTGCTGTTGCTCACAGCCATGATGATGATGATGATGATGATGATGATAAACAGAAATCATAACATCACCAATAATAATAATGTACAAAAGATCAGTAAAAGGTCAAAACATGTCATCACTTTTATTTTACTCATCTCTTATTTGTCTGTACGATTACTGTTTATCAGATGAATGTTCGTCTGACGATACTGTTTTTGTTTCTGTGTGTTTTGTAGAAACATCCTGGTGAGGAGTCACGGCACCATCACAGTAGCAGTTCACAAGATCGCCTCTTGAAGACACCATGACTCACTGCAGAGTTTTACTGTAAAGAATTGTACATGCAAACAAACACATTAGTATGAATCACACAATCTGAGTGAGCTCTGACAAAGAGAAATCTGAGGTTTCCTCATTCGGCTGCTGTGTTCTCTGTATTTTCTGACCCCATATTTAAACCAGAGAGCTTGTTAATTTTCTGATGCTGAATATTGGAGTGTGAATCTCTTCTTTTATAAAAAAAAAAGAAAAGAAAAAGAATCTACACCAATTCATCAGTGATGCTATTTTATTGATACTGTACAGAATAGGTCTAATATGATGTTGTATCCAGCCGTGTTAAAACCGTATGTGTGTGTGAGTGTGTGTGTGCGCGCGTGTGTGTGCGCTTTTTGCCTACAAACATATCCTTCAAGCCAAGGCAGTCATGCACAGAATAACAACCCTTAATAAACTTTAACTTGACTTTGCGCTGCCCTCCTCTGTGTTAAGTATTCATTATTTTCTCCTTTGCTCAGTAGCTGCGTGACATTTACACAAGACATGGAAAAAAAAAAAAAAACAGGTTTCACAGTTTCCAATCATTTATGAAGCCACTGAAGTCGCGTATGGCGGAAGGATCACACATTTATTCACTTTAAAGAGCGTGTAGGTTCGTGTACAAGTGGAGCGCCAGGTGTACGCAGTGTGTTTTCGTGCTCCTCTGGATGGGGGAGTGTTAATCACACAATGTTTTTTTGTTTTTTTGTCAGACAACACGTGTATCCCTCTGTCCGCAGCACATGGCTGTGTATCTGCAGAGCAGGCGGTGCAGCGCATCTTAGTGGCGCACCGCCTTTGTCCAAGACCTGAGCACAGTCTGCGGTGGCTCCGATGTTTTCGCCGCAGACCAGTTTATTTATGCCTGAGTGCCGGCGACGGTCCGTCCATCCCTTTCTAGTGAACGTGATATCTCAGGAGCGCCTGGGGGGAATTTCTCCAAATTTGGTCCAGACGTTCACTTGGACTCCAGGATGAACTGATTAGAATTTGGTGGTCAAAGGTCAAAGGTCAAGGTCACTGTCACCGTACAAACACATTTAGGGCCATATAGCTCAAGAATTCATACCCTAATTATGACAAAAATCTAACAGAAATCTCTCCTGGGATAAAACGATGAAGTTATAACATTTTATATTCAAATGGTCAACTTCACTGTGGCGTCATGATTTTCTGCAAAACCACTTTTCTGACCATTTTTAAACGCTGTAACTGAGGAACAGAAGGGGAGGGGAGATTCTGACCATATATCACCTTGAAACTTTACCAAAAACACATGTAATGCCTTTTACTGAGTTCCCTCAAACTCTCCACTACATATTTCATGCCAGCCGAGCAGACATGGATGTAAACAGCAGCTCGACTGGAGGCGTACTACTGCAAGGAGGTAATTCCAGCTTTCTCTCCTCTCTCCCCCTGAGCCCTCAGACGAGGTTCACTGCTACGTCTCAGTCACGTGGCTCTCCTCAGTTGAAGGCTTCGCTCTCTGCGGCTCCTCGGCGCAGCCAGCGATGTTGAGGCTGAGATATGAGATGCAACTGAGAGTGGCCCGCTCATAGAGGCAAAGTTATGGCACAGTCATCATCGGAAGAAGAGGTCCCGCAGCAATTTCTCTCTGCCACAAAGTCCTCCGCTGGTGACGCGCAAGCATTTCTGGGACGCACAACACCGGAGCGAGAAAACCCCAAATTAAACTAATTGAAATCGGTGCAGAAGAGCGTCGAGGACAGAAAGAGATTTCAGGTATGTGCTTCATGTTTTTAATTTTTTTTTTTTTTTTTTTTGGCACATTTATGAGAGTCTGCAGCTTTCAGCTAATTAACCGTTTTAAATATGAGATGACACAGATTTTACATTTGATGAAGCTATAATTCATTTTCATTATTGGTGAACTATTTCCTTCAAACCTTTCACATCACACTAAAGTTATGCCCTAAACTGTTATCCTCTGTGACACCCCCCCACCCACCCCCCCACCCCCCAAAGTTATTCTGGGCTTTAAAACTTTTCACCCACATTGTGTCAGTGCAGGTTTGTGCCTCTTTTTGTCCGATGGCACCCAGATGACATCTTCTTGAAATTCACTGCAGAAGTGTCAGTGTGCCTGAATTCTGAACGAGCCTTTTCTTGCCTCCCCAGCAGAGTTGAGTTGAGTGAGGGGCACAATGCAACAGGCCTGTGAAGTGAAGATAAGAACTGGCTCACAGCAACACACCGTAAGACCTCCCTGTTTTCTCCTCACGGTAATACGGTTTTGTGTGTGCCTCCGTTGGACTAAGCCAAAAGCTTTCAGCTAAACACCCTGCATTTACTACATAAGCTCACAATTCCTCAGGACTGATGCCTGTGTGGCTTCCCCCTCAGAGCTCAATGTGGAGGCCAGGCTGTGGTCACAGTTGGAGCCTCTGGGTTGTGACTCTTGATAGATAAAATAGTTAGGCAGACAGAAAATCATGAAGAAGAGGGTCAGGGACACAGCTGGCCACGAACTTCATTAGATGGTGATATTTGGTTGAATGCAGGCTGTGACGTCATGCGACCAGAACTCATAGCTAGGACAGCATATAATGAAGAATACTGATGACAACTGAGGTTGATATTTTGTTGGTTTTAATTTGTGTTCTTCACCAAAACCCAACATCTACCACACATGGGAGAAGGTTGCCTTTAAGGCTTTCTGCTAGAGTGGTTTTCAGTTAGAAAGGCAACCTAACCAAGTAGATTTGTTGACCAAATAGCCACTCAAAACTGAAAATCTAAATAAAAGAAAAACTGAAAATAATAAGCTAACAAAGTCAAGCAGGACATGAACCCTGGTATCCAGAGTGACAGTCCTATGTTTGACCCATTCACCCACCACAACTATCTCTTTGTTGTCTTTGTAGTGGGCCTACCTTCTGCCAGAAAGCATTTCTGGCTTTCTGCCAGCAGGGTTTTCTGGCGGAAAGGCTTGAAGGCAAACTTCTCCCAGAACTACGTCTTCCACGCGTCTCGTGCCAACGCCGTCTTGAAAAACAAAGTACCAACATTCTAGTTGGGAGCAAAACCCGACGTCTGCGAAATGTCACAATGTCAATCAGCCAACGCTGGGTTGTGACATCAACCCGATTTTCATTTCCAGCCAAAATGTAATGTCTGTCCAGCGTCTTTCTGAAGAGAAAGTTACTTGGAAAAATACGGTTTGAAAAACTGAAGTTGATATTTTCATGTCTCTGTAACGTAGCGGCCTGAGGTTTTTCTGTCCATCTGCCCATATGTACGCACAGGTCCGTCTGTCCCATTCTCATGAAGGCGATATGTCAGTTACGCCTTGAGGAAATTTCTTAAGCTTTGGCTGTCAAAGGTCAAAGGTCAAGGTCACAAGGACCACACAAAACACCCTTTTGGCCATAACTTTAGAATGCACAGACTAATTAACTGCAACTGGACCGGTTGGTGGAGGCATGCATGTTTTTAGAGTATCACTATTTTCTTCACTTCATCAGTATTGTAGAGCCGTAATGAAATGCCATTTCTTTCAAAAGAGCAGTTCAGCTTAAGAAATAGTTCGGCTATCAATGCATAATCTTATGCTCTTATGTTATTGGGAGGGTTTGAAAATGCAGAATTTCCAGATATTTACTTTGTAGGTAAAAGTGTATCTTCTTGGCTTTTAACTGTAACTGCAGTACTCCTGCTATGACCCCAGGAACACTTTACGCAACTGTCCTGTTAGGATTAAAATAAACACTTGTACAACTCTGCAGGAGATTTGAACGGGGCTTTTCATCACTGTGAGAGTGAACTTTTAAAGTCTGCAAGCATAGTAAGACTATGGAGAGACCTCATGGATGCAGCAGTGGGAGTTGTATAACTTTACCAAGTATTGCTCTGCGGTCATACTATGATCCGCGTATAAAGGATCTACTATTACAGTGACGTCAGCAGATGTGATGTCATGTGTATTCTCAAATTATCCCTTTTTTTTTCAGACTTTTACACAATGCAAAACTTTTCTTTTTTTGCATTTCGACTGAGATGTGTGACTGTCTTGGAAGAGGGACATCACAACTCGTTTGAGCCACGTTCACTATCATGAACTTGATTGTCTTGTCGTACTTATCAGACCTTTCTTTACAGCCTTTTAAAGAATGAAGTTGTGCAGCCTTAGAAGTATCTTACAGGAAGACATGCCTGTGCAGATGTTTTGTCAACTCTAATCTTAAAACTGATGAAAGCATTCATTGATTTGTCCATCAGTGTCTGTGCTGTGTGCCAGTGTCAGGAGCAGTTCATGTCAAAACAATGATGGGCATGGCATTGTTGCATTGCTCAAACCACAGATTCTCCTTTTAAGGTATATGTATATGTTTTTTGGCAAAGGTCTTGCTGTGTACTAAACTAAAACAGGACGTGTCACAGCAGGACAATTGTTGACTCTAAACCAGTAGAACAGGGTGAGAATGTTTCTTAAAGCACAGTCATGGAAGATGGGGTGGGGTGGGGTGGGTTCTCCTGCTTTCTGCAGGTGTCCATGCTTTCCTCCTCACTGAGGATGTAGCAAGAGCTCAAAAGTCAGCATCAAAGGGACCTGTGGCTAATTTGATGCTTTTCATTATTATTTTCATTGGTTGTTGTGATTCTTTATCCCTTCAGGCAACATTTTTTAAATGTATACCTCTATAAAGAGTATGTACGTCAATAGAGACATCTAATAGCTGGGATTGGTTTCTGGATGAGTCATTTGACATTTGCCTTATAATAATGAGGTGAGGAACCTCCTAATTAGGTCTTGGGGATGTCTGTGTGTGAGGGGTCAGCTTGAGCCTGGTGAGATGTATTCAGAGCAGCTATTACAACTTTTTTTATTGTAATGCCAATGCAATGCACACCACATAATTATAACCCCTGCCCTATTTGTCCACGTCAATCAAGCAATGAATCAAACTTAATTTGTGTAGCACCTTTCATGGAGGTGCAGTTCAAAGTGCTTCAAAGAAGACTGATATTAATAAAGAAAAAAGGAAAATCAAGTAAGAAAGCTGAGAATTAGATACAATTAAATAGATTTAAAAAAGCTATAAAACCTTTAAGAAACATTAAACATAAGAAAATTTTGTTTGTTGGTTTTGTTTGTTTGTCAGCAGGATTATGCAAAAGGTACTGAACCAATTTTCACCAAACTTGGTAGAGGGATGGGGCAGGGGCCAGGGAAGAACCCATTCATTTTAAAGGGGTGAATCCAGGAATTTCTTTTTATCACTTTCCTTTAACATGGTGAGATAGGGCATTTTTTGATTCTCTCGTCAATTTCTCAGGAAATAATTTATAGATCTTGATGTAAAAAGTCAGACATATTATTGGTGTTGAGATGACTCTGTACAATTTGGTGCAGATCCAGATTCCAGATAATAATCTAGATATAAGATTACATATAATAGATTACACGGTTACATATAAGGATATAAGAACATGTTCATGTGACTGTTGTAATAACCAGCCTAAAGCCCAGTTCAACTTTTCTCTGACTTTCTGTCATTACTAGGCATCTTTTAGTAATTAAATGTGATTGTCATTGTTTCTCATTGTAAATGGAAACACAGAGAGGGAGGAAGCAGAGTGCAACATTCTTCTCAGTGCTGCACATCTGTAGATTCACACTGCTGACTGAAGCACTATTGCTGCATCACAGTGCAGGGGCTTGCTTCTCCGCATTTGCTGACCCGATACGTTAGCAGTCATCACTCCGTTGTAAATATCTCACGTAATAAATAAGCTATGCAAAGTCACACATAAACTTTAAGGATGCCAGATATTTCCCTTAAGAGTTGGCAGAGAACAAGAAACAGAATTAAAAGAGAGTGAATAATTGACTTATATTCATGTGATGCCCAGAAATGGATGATGTTGCTCTGTAACTGCTGGAATGTGTAAATGAGTAATGCTTTAACAATAATGATATGATAATAAGCTTTATTTATATAGAACCTTTCAAAACACAGTTACAAAGTGCTTTGCAAGACAAGATGAAATTGACGATGACCAACAAAAAAAGAATGATTAAAAAAAAACATTTAAAAACAGTCCAAAGTTTTACAGTGGGGTGGGGGGGTGGGGTGGTGGGGGTGGTGGTGGTGGGGGGGTTAAGTACTAGAACTTTACAACTTGGCGGCAATCTGAGGTCATTTCCACTCACAAACTTCAGTTGCCATGAAATCTTGTACAGACATTCGTGGTCTTGAAAAAAATGAGTCCTCTTATGACATAATATACATGTAAAACTAGTGACATTTCTACTTTGTGTTTAGCGCTAATCAGCAGATGTTAGCATCCTAGCATGCTAAACTAAGATATTGGATATGATAAACATTATACTTTGTGAACATCAGCATGTTAGCATTGTCCCTGTGAGCATGCTGACATGAGCTTTTAGTGCATAGCACTGCCTTCACCACTTAACTACAGCCTGACCGAGCCTCTAGCATGGCTGTGGTCTTTTAGTCTTGATTCATTTACAAGTTGAATGAGACCGACTTGACTGTACCACTTGTGTTGTTCTCATTTGTGGAGGAGATGCAGATCCAGTCTGGCCATCAGGTCCTCTGCAGGTCCTTCTATCATACGTTCTTTGAAGGTTCCTGCGTCTGAATTGGGATGCATTGTTGCACTAGTCACATTGCAGGACGTGCAATGTGTAGTGACGCACATTAACTCAAACATGTCACGCTACAACTTTCTTGCTGCTTGATACAAAAGGAAAACTCGCACGGTTGTTATTTTTCATGACTCATCTACAAGAGAAATCTGTCTGATCATTTACTCTGATTCAAAGGTTCTTGGATACACAGAGTTTGTTGATAGTCTGTGACATGCAGACTCTGCATGTCATGTCTGTGACATGCAGAGTCTGCATGTCACAGTGAACCACCAATCTCAATCAATCATTCTTGATCATTTTATCAGCAAACCAAAGCAGGCCCCATCCCCGCAAATGATCACAATCCAGTTTTGAATAAAACACGTCCATTTCTGTATTGGTCCGGGTTAGGGATAGGGCTGTGGTCATTCTCTCGGAGCTTTCATCATATGAGGTGGGTGGGGTTTTATCTAAACACAGAAAAAGTTTTGTTTCTGTGCCTTCAGTTATCATTGTCCATTTCTTCTTGCAGGTGTAATGCTGATCTCGATGCAGCCATAGTTCCAAGTGCCCTTCAACCAACCTGAGGATGACACTCAGAGAATAGGACTTCTGACTTCATTCTTCACCTGCGGAGCCTTCAGCATTCTACCAAAACAGCATAAAAGGTAACTCATCAAACTGGTTCAGGCAAACAATCTCTGTGCTCTCTACAAGAGAAAAAGAAGGGTGGTGTCTGCACAGTTTTGGGGGATCAATCTATAACATGATGAATCTGATCTCCAAAGCTTGGTGTCGTTAGTTTCCACAACTGAAATGTGTGTGTGCATCTGTGTGGTACATATTGGCGTTGGGAAATGGCAACGTCACAGAGCAAACAAGACAAGAGATCGCTCGTATTCCAGGGTAAAAGACAAGGGACAAAATCCACAGCTCTTATTCTGTGGAAAAGTGCAATGTAAATCGGCTAAAGCTCCTACGAGGCGGCGGCCGTCTGAGGTATCTTTCAAAGTTACTGTCTTTGTAGAATACGTTTCTATCTCTTGAGTTGCAGGAGAAGGAAAAGTAGGACATTCTGGAAAATCCGCTCTTGATTTTTCTGACTGTGATTGCTGAAGTCTCGTATTAACTTCAGCTGAACATTATAACTGCGGATATTGTCTCCCATCATGTAATGGAACTGTATTAGTAAATGATTTCTTCCCATGAGGAACAATTAGAGCGACCAAACGCTGCCTCCATGTAGACATGGGCATGTGGGTAAAATTGACTCAAAAATATGTGAACCTATCAGTCCATCTGCCACAAACGTTTATGAGTATGTGAGAAAGCCTTAACTGTTAATGGAAATGCACGACTGTTGATAAAGTGAAATGAATTAGTCAAGTTGAAAGTTCATTATCAAAACAAAATTAAAAACAAATGTTCATTTTTAATGGTTGAAAGTGGATCATGGAGTGTTGAACAACCTAAAACTCAAAATGCTGCATCGCCTAAAAAATTGTAAACCCGTCTTCAGAATGTGAATTGTCTCTTGTTTCTATGAAATAAAAGTCAAATTGCATTTGCCTCAAGGGCAGGATTCTCCCAGGCTTGTTTTTTGCATGTTGTCTATTTTCCAATCTAGTTGGCTACTTTCCTTTCCAGCTCACATACTGTAGTTTCAGTGCAATTCTGATACGGTCCTGCCCACGATTCTTTGTCTTTAAAAGCGATCTTGCTCAATCCTAAATCTGCCTGAGCAGGTGTTGCCATAGCTTTTTTGTATTGACCTAAAAGGTACAATCTGTGATTGTAATATACATCCCATCAGTAAAGATCAGAGGTGGCACGTTAAAGGAAGCAGCAGTTTCTTTTTCAGATTCCTCATTCATTTCTCCCTCTGTGGTGGACAGTGGTTTTCTCTGTAGTGAACACTAGATTGGGACACTTATGATTTATCATCATTTTGGACAGAATTACTAGCAGAAAGTTGTTCACATTCCATGGATGTTCTTTTTTAACATTCTGCTTTCACATCTGTCTATAGTCAAACCTGCAGACTAACCAAACGAATACCCCCCCTCGCCCTTCTTGTTTTTGTTTTTTCACCTTCATTGAATAGGACAGTCTAGAGACAGACAGGAAACAGGGAGAGAGAGAGAGAGAGAGAGAGAGAGAGAGAGAGAGGGAGAGGGGGTATGACATGCAACACAGGTCCCCAGCTGGAATCGAAATTAAAGTTTCCCCGTGTTGTTTATCTCACGGATGCACAAGAAGACCCGATACAAAGGCAAATGATTTTACACTGTTCCACTGATCAGAAGTTGGAGATAACACACCAAGATATACAGCAATGTACCAGCAAAGGCAGTGAAGAGGAAGACAAAAACGCTAGTAAGCGCAGATGTAAACAACACTGGATTTAACATACTTAAAAAAATCTGGTCTGCAAATGTTTTATGAGGAAGAAAATGCACTCAACATTTGTGACAGCTCAAGGATACACACAATGAGCTTGTGTGAGTAACGCTGAAAGTAAAATTAAGTTTTGTTTGTTTACAAGAAAACTCCACATGGTACCTTTAAGACTGCTGTTTTCAGTTTGCTCAGTCCAGGCTTCATGCACAGACTCGGACTCATAAATCAGACTTTCAGAAGGAGGAGGTGAACGGATCTGTGAGTAGTTTCTCATTGGTTGTTGTGATTCTTTTTCCCTGCAGACAACATTTTTTTTTTAAATTTATACCTCTATAAACAGTATGTAGGTCAAATAGAGACAGATTTTGGAGAATATTATTCACTAAGTAGCCTTACTAAAAATCTAATATTATACTAGATGCACAATGTAAAATTTGGAGAGAGAATGTGCAGCTGGAAGTGTGCGGTAACGTGGTGTTAATACCTGACTACAAAGTGCTGATCTCCAATCCGCCATCGCTCCAACCCTCAGACCCCCGGCACATTTACAAACATGCACTCAAACACACTCTGAGGACAACTTGTGAACAGCACATGGGGAAATACTTTCCTCGCAATACACTGGCCCAATTCATTCCCCTTTTAATCCGCTCTCTGCTCTCTGCCTAATTTGGTCTTGGCTTCTTATTACAGGTTTACTATGCCCTCTCCTCCAGTGTTGTTCAAAGTCTTTAACACTTTGCAGCGTCTGAGTGGGAGTACAGGTTATGTGAGAAATAAAAACAAATAACATAAGTATTTGTAAGGCTAAGCACCATTTAAGACAAGTGAGGAACAGTATACATACAGTATATATTTTTGTGGTTTTCGTGAGCTGACTCTAGGATGGTAAATGATAAAGACACACAACATGTGTGGTAAATAGCTGAGTTTGCCAATTGCAGTCAACATGGCTGTTAAAGGCGTCAGACTCTCTTGCTCAAGCGTTGCCTCTGTTTGCTCTTGTGGTTCATCTCTGACCCCAGCACTCCCCCCTGCATCCAGCTGTGGGTTCCCCATAGAGAGCTTCAAAAGTTTCATTTTATAAAATATTAATATTGACTAGTGTTTGTTTGACACTGTTGAAGCTCATATACAAAGTATTGCTTGCTTCTTTTTTCAAGAACGCTAATCAACACAAGTCTAAGACATGGGAGGGGGATTCTTTGGCAATATGTTGCATGAACGGCTCCAAGTATCTCAAGGTCTCATGTTGCCTGCTGGGGAAAACCAAGTCAAACTGCAATACACTTGACACATTTGACAGAAGCCTAAGCAGGTAGCTCCTAAATCACCTCTCAACAGGAGCACAGGTGCATTTCACAAAACTGTAGTCTTGGGGCTTAAGTCTTAAAGTTCCTCTGAAGGCATGTTTGTAAAAATCCTCGCTATGATCAATATTTTTGCTTAACAGGGTTTTTCACGTTTAAAAAGTGAAGGAAAAAAAAAGAAAACTGGGGCTAGAAGCTGATCTACTCTTACTTCCTGAGAAATCTGGTTCAAGCTTGTTTTTCACCCACCATCACTGCTTGCCTTAAGTTGACAGGTGAGAGAAGAATGCATATCAAAATGGTTAGTGAGGAAACTCACAGCCACATGCTTGAGCCTCAGTCAGACTCAGACCCAGAGTTTGTTGAGGAGTGAGGAGTTTGTTGTGACCAAAATCAGCAACTAGAAGACGTATCAGAGCCGTAAGCGTAGTTATTTATTTTAGCTTGTAGCTGGCAGTGGCTGACACAGTGTTAGCGGCCGTGCTAATGCAAACTGTCACTCTCTGTACTGACAAGGTTTTGGTGAAAGAGCAGAGAGCATCAAGATGGTTAGTGTTACAGGAAACATCAGAGAGACTCAGCCACATGTTTGAGCCTCAGTCAGACCCAGACTCAGACGAGAAGTCTGTTGAGACCAGAATCAGAGACTGGCAGACGGATCGGAACGATTAGCGAAGTTAGCATCTTTGTTTGTTTGTTTTTTAATCATTTGTTTATTCTGTATGTTAGCTCATAATGTTTGTGCTTATGGAAACTCTCGCTCTCTGTACTGACAGGGTTTCGGTTTTAGTTCGCCCGTCCCCACACGTTGATGGGATTGGTTACTTAGGTTTGTGACGTGTGAAACCCTGGCTGTCTGAATCTGTTTTTATGAGACTGTCATAAAACGTCATATAGATGTTATAAGGTTTAAAACTTGATTTTCATCAGATCTTCATATCTTATTATCACTGCACTCAGTAATCAATCATTATTGCCAGTACAAACATAAAACTATATCATCTCATTGGCAATCAGTGCATTTTCATGCACTTGAATAACCTGTTTATTCTGATTTCTACAGTGACTTGACTTTGTAAACGTAAACCTGATTTACTTTAAGGTTCCCTGTGGAGCTTTTTTTCACTCTTCCTACGTGCATCCTTGAGGCTTCATGAATGTGTGGGTGCATTTGCTTATATAGGAGCTGATTTCGGGACTAATTTGAAATCTGCATTGTTAACATCAATGTCTACCACTTAGAAGTCTTCTTCCCTGTTTGTGTTAGCACATTGTTACATTATGGCTACCAGCTGTTGCATCACATGTGCATGACAAAGGGGGAGTGTCTTCAAGTCCTATTTAAAATAATTAAACCCCAAATCAGACCAGAACAACAATGTAAGTAGATTTGAGCAAGTCAGCCATGTTTTAGACTGTGTGGTTTGGAGTTGTTCAAACGTTGCTTGCTAGAAACAGGTTTACTGAGTCTGGAAGTTTTATGAGCATTTCTAGGTTCTCTGAAAAGTTATCCTGATAACCGTATAACTGCTTCCCAGAACAGCCCCAGGGTTTTTCGGTTCACAAGTTAAATTATCACGAGGTTAAAACATCATCATAAAGCAAACTTTAGCCCATCATAAACAGAACATACTGTTACGTGCTGACAGGGAGCTTCGAGATACACATTTAAATTAAATATTTGCACCTGCTGTGACATAGATGCACTTAATGTAAACACTGCTGAGACATTCAGTCCTGCGCAGGAGCTGTAATAAGAGCAAAAGAGGTGGAAAAGTAACCAGGCGTAGCTGTACTGTAACTGGCCTGTTTCACAGCTCAGTGACTTAACAAGCATTACTGTCTGTCGTCAGAAAGGATCATTCTGTCCCGTGGCATGATGACACCACATTAATGTCAAATATCAGTCAAACACATTGAATGGTTCAAAATGATTTGATTAAGTTGTTGTCTGCAGTTTACAGGTTTTACAGGTAGGTTACTTGAAGCACAAGTAACCTACCTGTAAAAGGGAGAAGAGTTTTTGTTTTTTGATACTTAAACCTTGAGAAAGAACCTGCTTGTCCTGTTTCTTCAAAAACTAAAAAATGCTACATACTGCTAATGTTGGGGAAACCAAGAGATGGAGATTCACTCACAGACAACGAACAATCAGAATTTATTGTCCTTAAAGTGCAACAGAAAAAAGTTAGAAAATTTAAAAAAAAAAAATAGATATGGATTTAACACTTAAACACACATTAGTTACTGTGTGACTTTGTGGCAAACATTTTATATAATGAATCCTGAACATTACCCTAAAATGCTGTTCCATTCGTGTTTGTATCCATGTTACCTGTGTGAAGATATGTCCTGAATTTTAGTGTATTGTTATGGCCTGCAGTCACATGAATGATCCTGATTACCCAGCCTATGTAGCTTTAAAGTTATTTGTATTATTTGCCCTTTTTTTTTCTCCTAGTGAAACCAAGGCAGCCATGAACCTGTTCAGGAAGGATGCCATGAGCACAAAGAAGGAGAAGGAGAAAGAGATCCAATATGAGGACCCTCCAGATGGAGGATGGGGCTGGATGGTGGTGCTGCATTGCTTCCTGGTATGTCCACCTCAGCTGTTTCTGATAATCTCTCATTTCTGTGGTAATGTTATTATTATCATGTGTTTATTAATATGATGGTTTTTTAAATATTGTTTTTATATTATAATAACTTATAGAAAATATGGGATTATTGAACTTTTGCACATATTTCTTTCAGCACTATATGCAATGGATGTTTTGCTGAACTGGAAACACGCAAATATTTCACAGCACACTTCTCGCACTACAATATTTGTGCCACTGCATTTCTTGATAATACTGGATATAATATTTCCATGTGTCCAAATGTGACATAACAACATGAGAGAAAAATGTGCTGTGTCTACTTCACGGACAGCACTGATTTGTTTCCCATTATTTTCATGTGTGTGTTCAGGTAAATGTCCTAGTGATGGGAACACTGAAGAGCTTCGGGATCTTCTTCGTGGCCTTCCAAGATGAGTTTGGAGGCTCGGCAGAGAGCATCAGTTGGATCGGCTCCATCATGTCGAGTCTGCGCCTGTCTGGAGGTACGATGTCTGCGTCATCTATCTAGCTCTGAGTCCATAGATTAGATGTAAAGATACTTTTTACACTTAGGTATTGAATGGCAGAAAATGAGGAACGTTTGTTGATCCTACACCTTTGTGCTTCCTCTCCCGTATCTTCTGTAGCACCCATTGCCTCTGTGGCCTGTGCCAAGCTGGGAGCCAGGGTGACCTCCATCGCCGGGGCAGTGCTGGTTAGCGGAGGCTTCCTCATGAGTATTTTCGCCAACAGCGTGGTGTTCCTCTACATCAGCATGGGAGTGATAGTTGGTGAGTAGAAACGTGCGGTAAGCCAAAAAACCTCAGTGAGACTCAAACTTGCTGTTTCCATGATGACTCCGAAACCACAAAGCAAAGCCAAGGTCTTTCTCTGCATGCCTCATGCAGAGAAGAGAAAGTCATTCACAACCAATCATCTCCTCAAGGTGATGGCCTCCATCACCCACATTCCTGTGACTGACACAGTGTTTGATAATGATAACCTTCTCTCCTCCTCATAGGAATGGGTTTTGCACTACTATACCAGTCCTTCTCAGTGGTCACAGCCCTGTACTTTCGAAAGAGGTTAGCAACAGCGTATGCAATCGGGCGTTCTGGGATGGGTTTGACCTTTGCCCTCGCCCCGTTCACTCAGCTGCTCCTGGACCAATATGCTTGGCAAGGTAGGCCGGGCAAATCTCTTAGTGAGCAGGCTTAAGCATTTGTTTGATGTGTGAACATTGCATAATAAAGTATGTTTTCTGGTGTACTTCTGTTTTTTTTATGTGTGAGTGGAAGTACACATTTTGGGTCCTGAGCTGTCTTTGTCTCCCGCAGGTGCGATGCTGATTCTTGGGGGTCTCATGCTGAATCTGGTGGCCTCTGGGATGCTTCTGCGGCCCATCAACGTGAAGCCTCCCATGTCAAACGCTACCTCTTCTCCCATCCAAAAGAGTCCTGCTGTTTCCCTCAAGAGCTCCTCAGAGAAGGAATACACTAAGAGCTGCTTGAATGGCTCCTCTCATTTGTCTAATGGCATCTCCAAATCAGACTCATTCCCATCCTCTCCTCCCCCTCACAGGGACTCTGAGAACCTGGGGGGCCAATGTACTCAGGGAGCCCAGGACCAGTCAGTGAACCCTGAATTTACCAGACTGATCCTCAATGGTGTGAATGGCCATGAGCCTCACCATGACTTGGGTCAGTGTAAACCCACCGCTCCAGACAGCTCATTGGAGCTCAATGGCAGCATGAATGGGTCCACCATTGTTGGATTTCCCTCACATGCCAGCACACCCAGTGAGGTGACCGTCAAAAAAGCCAAAGTACTGGATTTCTCCTTGCTAAAGGACCCATTCTTTTGCATCTACACTTGGTCCTTGGTCTTCAGCCAGCTGGCCTATTTCATCCCCTATTTCCACCTGTCTGCCCGAGCCAGAACCCTGGGCATCGACGCCATGGATGCTTCGTTTATCATCTCTGTGGCAGGTGAGACACACGTTTATCAAAACTTCCTGTTTTTGTGTGTGTTTGTTATGATGATTATGGTGTTTTGGAAAATAGAGCCTATTTGCTCTCTTGACGAGGGTTATAAGAGAAGGTTGACACCACCATCATGTTTGTTGTGAGAAGGAGGATCTTGACAATGAAAACTCCAAAACTTTATTTTTAAAGATTAGTTTTTATTGCCATCATTAAGGTCATCAACAGCCAATCACACATAGAATATAGGTAATACAGCAGCAAGTGACAGAGATGTTATAGCGTGGCCTTCCAGGGGTCGGGTTCTGCTCAAACCAGCACTAGTTTGTTCAATGTTTGATCATATTGGAAATGAAATCAGTGGTAGATAGTTCTTCAGAACAGCTCCACTCAAAGGTGAAGTGAAAAGCCAGCTGTCATAGAGAACAAGAGGCACAATATCATTTAAGTATGGGGGTAATGGCACACATTTTTTAGACAGCCTCTCGTGGGAGATTGTCATAGTGTCGCACTCTGTCGTTCACAAGCAACGTGAAAGAAATAGTCAAGAGAGAGAATTTCACTGCTTCTCTCTCACCTGTGCACAGCTAATCATCAGGTGGTTGTGAATGTCAGACCGTCGATTTCAGAAATGTACTGAAATTGTCAAATGAAGTGCACCTAACTCAGCCGTCGGAAAAAGTGAGAGGGGAGGGGTTTTCCAAAGCTGTTCAATGACAAGCAGCTCTGAAGAAACCTACATGCTACTTAAAACAAGTTATCCGTAGAATCCTCTCAGCTCTCAAAGGGCATTTCAAGTTTTGAAAAACTGCAAAAATGTTGTCTCTATCATACAGTGTCCATGCACTGCTTTTATAATTCTTATTGAAATATTTAGAACTTTTGCAATATGCCACATCTGATAGAAGCACCTTTTTAAAAAAAAGACCTCTCCCTCTGGGTGAGTCAATTAGAGGCGCTGTACCCCTTCTGACTGTACACCAAATATGTTGATACAGTACCCACATCCAACACCAGCACCACCCCTCACCTGACTGCCAGCTCAGCAGTTTGATCAGTGTACCAGCACATGATCATAAACCAAACTCAGTCATTGCCACATGATTCACAGCACAAATTTATATCTTTTACATTAGACACCAGTTGTGCATTTGACACTGCCTGAAATTTGAAAAAAAAAAAAAAGAAAAACACTCCCACTCTTTATAAATCTGACAGACTCCTGACTGAACAGACAGCTGCCGCTTGTCTTTGAATGTGGCTTCCAGCAGGGATTTCACAGAGACTGTGAAGAGGGAGGTCCAGGTTTCTTTAAGACTGGGTTTAAGAGGCGATGCAAAAAAGTCCTCAGTCAACTTCTAGGCATTAATTATTTGTGAGCTGCTCAGACTCTGCAGTCTTATGTAATGAATGTGCTTACATAAAAGCTGAACTTTGGTCCACTGGCCAGGCTGGGTGGGTTCAGCAGTATGCCACTGATGGGGCCACTTCATATGAACAAAAAACAGCATTAACATTTTGACCACAGAGCACACGTGTGTGTAATTATTCAAGAGTGCTTGGTCAGGCTTTGTGAATAATTGAAATGCACCACATAGGGTTGTGCATTTATGAGTTACATGCTTCTGTTTTGTAACCTCTCCCTTAGTAATCAGTGCTCAGCAGATAAGATAGTATTTCCTTTGATTGAAGGTGTCTGGTAGATAATGATAATGACAGTTAAATGGTCTGAAACACATCTGTTATCACAAGCTCGAGGATGTAGTGGGTGTGAGAATGTTATTGTGATAGTAACATGAGAAGCTGCTGACATTTCATACATTTATTACATTTTTCTCGTCACATCTCTTCAATGTGGCATGACACCAGATTTGAATCATGTCACATTGAAGAATGCAAACTGATTGTTTGCATCACCGCTCTGTTTGGCTTTTGAAGACATATTTGTGGTGTTAGATTGTCTAAAAGGCTAATTATACATTTTGAAAAAAAAAAAAAAGAAAAAAATCTGTCATTGTGAAATATGGTATATAACCTGCCTGGGAAAATACAGTGTTTCCTTTGTCAGCATTGAGGCATCAGCAGCTGGACACCACCACTGCTGGACAATATGGGTAAAATTAGAGAAAGAGGTTTCAAGAAAACACTATGTCGAGAAAACACAGCTGGGATAAAACCATTTATGGATTGAGCCAAAACTATGATTGGGGTCAAGTAACACGGCAGTATAAGATTACAGGATGCTCTGAAGGCTCTTAAACCAAACTCTATGGAATCTCATCTATGCAGCTGTAACAAAAACCAGAGGATATAGATGTCTGATGAACTGTTGCTTTACTAAGATGAGCTCTGTGCCAGTGATCAGTGCCAGCGAGCAGCAAACAACACGTTTGTTCTGTCACATTCTCTGGTCATGTGCACTGTAATGAAAGAGAGACAGAGCTGGGGAGACGGGGTGCCACCCACACCACAAAGCCACCATCCCAGTATCCTGCTGTCCTTCTTTCCCCCGACCCAGCGCTTGTCATAGAGGCCCATTGACTGGGCCGGGCGAGGGAGGCCACTATCATCCGGGTCAGTCTGTTCGTCAACTCTCAGCCACCAACACTGGAGCTAACCGGAGTCGCTAAGCAACAGCTGACTGAGTAAAGTTGCTGGCACGGTGACAGGAGGGGTCCAGTTCTAAAGTGGCTGATACTTTGCAGAGGAGCACTGAGGCGGCAACACGTACAAAAGAGGAGGCAAGACAAGCCAGCAACAACCTCAGAGAAGCTGGGAAAACCAATATATGCCTTTTATAAACCTTTGCTTTAATCTAGTGACAAAATGTCCATCTTTGAAGAAAAGGGAATGGCATCTCTCCATGGCTCCCAACCCTCCCATGGTGTTAAATCCCAGAGGCATTCATATACGCCTTCTATACCTGCCAACGCTACAAACAGAAATGGACAGAACTAATAATGTTCCTGGTGCACTTGGCTTAAGGTGCTACTTGGAGAGGCCAAATTTAAACTGCATTGTGTTGAGTTTGAACAGGAACAGCTGCAGGCCTGGATGAACCTGCTGAGGCTAAAACACACAAACAAACTCATAACTCATCTGTATGCAAGCAGGGGACACCCCAGGACATTGTCGTGGGTCGCTAGAGGAGGACACATAAACACAGCACAGCTGCCTCTTGTCATCTTTCTAACCTCAGAGGAGAGAGAGACGCTGTAGAATCTGTTATGTAAGGAGAGCAGAGGTGTTCACTGGCGAGGCATTTCAATGTTTATTCATTTAGATTTCATCCATAGGCTTAAATGAAGATGTAGCCGATCATTTAATGCATCCATGTGTTGATTTATGTTGATAAATGTAACCTTTATTGACATATACTGTAAATATGCTTACTCTACTTGGCACAGGTACTGTATGCAAACTCATATTCAGCAGAATTCCCTTCTGTTTTGGGTTGAGGTTGAGCCTTTGCAGTTGTGTTGCAGAGGCTGAGCAAAGGATCAGTATATCTGATCCGCACAGAACCAGTTTGTTATATTGATCAGTGGCTAAGCGCCGCCTGCTTGTAGCTATTCCTGTGACAGTCAATACACCACTGCAGTTTCTGCATCATCTATCGCGTTCCAGTTGACCTCAGCAGAGAGCAGCACATATCTGCCCAGTCATCATAGTGGAGTAAACAATCAATCAGATGGGATGGAGTGCATAATGAGTTGTTTAGCCGTGTGTTGCCAGTGTCATACAGATGTTAACAGAAGAGTATGTTGCCTAGTGTTTCTGGTTAGGAACATTTTCGTTTCAGAGAGCATGGACGACAGGGACTCATCTAGACATCCCGTTTGATGCTAATGCAGACCTGTGTCGCTTTGCTTTTGAACATCATTCATCATTCTTTCACACACGTGCGCACGCACACACACACACACACACACACACACACACACGCACACACACACATCCTGGCTTTGTTTTTATTAAGCAGACAATAGCTGCATGATTTTAAAGGAACAAGATGTGGTATGCTCACACGTCCCTGCACAAATCTTTCATAGATTATTTCAGCTGCACTTAAATTGATGATGTATGATGTAAATAGAAAATTGCGAACCTTTGCAAAAAAAATCAATGCTCGGCGGACCAATGGTGTAACTTCATCAGGAACTCAGTTGTATCACTCCCACAGTCAGTCAGTTGCTCACAGACATTCGGGGATGTAGCGCTGGACTGATCTAACTGAACATATTTTTTCATATATTTTATTTAGTCTTACTTCTAGTGGTATATAGCCATGTAGATAGTTTTGGTTGTATTTACCCAAGTTTTGAAATTTGAGAGATTTCTTCTCACAACCCCAATACAATGGAAGTGACTGGAATTTGTTTGTGGTAAATTCCTTTCCTCACCAAGAGCTGTATCTAGTGGTTGAAAGCAATGTCAATGTTGACTCTTCTTTTGTCTCTATTTCTATCATGTCTTTTCTTCTACTGAAGTTAGCATGCTAACCAGCTAGCCCCGGCCTGGTCAGCCTGTTTTGTCACTGTAGCATCCAGTCTGCCCTTAAAAAGTAGTGCTGATGAGAGGGTGTATTATAACCTTTTGTGCTGTTAATGCAATGATGACTGAAGCTATTGGCAAGAGACCATCATCACCATTTGCTCCTGGCAAGAAACCTTGTTCATTGGCAGAGAAAAAATATATATATAGGCCCTTTAAAGAAATCAACATTGCTGTTGAATAATAATTGTTGTAATTTTTCAATTCTGTGACCACTTAAAATCTTTTGTCTTAAAATTGTGAATTACTCTGGTATCTGTACATCAGTGGATTTTTTTTTTCAAATTGAAGATGTCATTTCTTTTTATCTAAGGTGAAGAGAGCAGCTTTTTCCAGAGAGCAGCTGCTTGATAATACCTAAATATTTCATTGTACTGTATGTGTTCCCCAGGCTGCCTCTCTTCTCTTATTCCTTCCTTTTAAGAGATTGTTGGAAACATGACTGTATTTCAGCAGGATAATCCACTCAGTATCAATACTGCTTTTCCAGGGAGATTGTGTAGGATTTGTGTAGCCATATCAAATCCTTGTACTCATACTTCTTATTTTCACTCTCACCTTTCATCTTACTGCTCCTTTCACATTTTACTTTGAGTAAAATTATTTGTAATGTCACTTCGTCTTCCCTTGTTTCAACACATTTTCTATTGTTTTTGAAATTTAACTTCACTCTCATGCTTCACTCTGTCCCAGTTTCTTATCCACCCGTCCATCCACCTCACCTGTTTGCCTCTGTTGCAGGTATCACAGAGACCATCGCCCAGCTGGCGTCAGGCTGGGTGACAGACAGGAACCTGTTTCATAAATACCACTACCACAAAGCCTATCTGATCCTGTGTGGCCTAGTCAACCTGCTTTCCCCACTGGCAACCTCCTATATCCTGCTGATGGTTTATGCAGTCTTCTTTGCCGTCTTCTGTGGCGGCTACATGGCTCTGCTGCTGCCTGTTCTAGTAAGGAGAATATCTTATCTGAACATTGTTATGCATTTGTTCTCTCTTAAATCAGTCTCTCTCACTAGTTCACCAGGGTTGTCATTTTCAGCAATGCTTTATTACAGTAGTTTAGAATAATTTCCTAGAAAAGAACTGACATGGAGATGCAGTGGCTCCTGTTGCCACCATTTTATTTTCAAGAAAACAAACAAAATAATTAAAAAATTCCAGGATTACGGCTGCTGTGTAGATGTAAAATTATTGGCTGTTTCCTGAGAGGGCTAAATTGGTACTTACTGTAGGGTAAATGGAGACTGTGTTCATTTGGTACATCCAAATAGTTAACTCTAATTAACTGGTAGTGTAATCTGTAGTCCTAAATTCAGTGCGCAGCAGGTACGCTGAACATGCAATAAGCAAACAATTCAACATACAGTAATAAAGAATAAAGTTTTCACTAATACATAAAGACGAAGAGTCTACAGCCAAGCTAGCAGCTCTGTGAGGCTGTACAGTGTTGCTTTGAGCTAGATGCTAGCATGAGCATTCTAACATGCTAATGTATAATGTTTACCATATTCACCATCTTAGTTTAGCATGTTAGCATGCTAGCATTTGCTTCTTAGTAATAAAGACATGTACAGTTAAAGCAGATGGGAATGCCATTTGTTTTTCTGGTATTTGGTTATAAACCAAAGTATTGGAAAAATTGAAATTTTGACCTGATGATGCCAGTAGATGAAAAGTCAGAAGATCATCAAAGTGATTATAAGGCATTGTCCAGAGGTAATGAATTTGTGAAAAAATTTTTATGGAGATCCTTCCAATACTTGCAGAGACATTTTACCCAAAGCCTAATTAAGGGATTACCACAATCGTTAGGATCAGTTAGAAACCAAAAATGTCTGTACAAAATTTCATGACAATCCATCCAATAGTTGGCTAAAAATGAATGAATATATACTTTATACCATAGTATAAATAGATCGGTTCTTTCAAAGAAATTCCTCTAGAAAATAAACAACTGCTTATAATCTCAACAAACTAACTAAACTCTTTACTCCTTAAAACTAAACTTTTCAGTGATTAATTACATAATTCTTCTTAGGGATTTTGCTAATAAATTATTAGGAAATTACAGACCCATGAAATCGATCGTTATAATCGTTCAATTGTTCAATTGATCAGTTGTTGAAATATAGTCATGGTTTCTTTATGACATCACATTACAGGGCAGGGCAGAGAGTAAAAGTAATTCTGAACAGATTGAAAGTGAAAACTAGGTTTTAGAAAATCAATAAAGATTAGTGAGTACAGTTAAATGTTGCAGAATCTCTGGTACCCTCAGATAGTACCACAATGTGCTCTCTCAGTATCATTTGACTGTTAACACGATCCCACCAGCATCACACTCTCTGTATTATCAGTCGGTTGTTCATTTACCCTGGAAGACCCCACAGTATCAGACTCTATAATCTGGTGAATTCACAATAAGTGTATTTGTGTGTGGGGACCTTTGTACCATGTAAAGGTGAAGTGGCTTCATTACATCATGATGTCATGTACTCAAAGGGAAATATATCCTTGAAGCAGACCATTGGATTTATGTCTCAACTGCCGTTATGGGTGGAGCAACATATTAAGTCAGCGGGTATCCAATAACTTGAGGTCATATCACACCTGAAAACAAAAACATGTGGTGTGATTTCACTTGTGCGCTCGCAAAGGGAAAGACATGCCTCTAAGCCTAAATCATGACAAGTGTGAATATGAACAGAACTAGTTTGCTCCTTTAGTTAATCCAAGCCTGTCTCTGCCTGCTGCTGTAAATCAAGAGTTTCAAGAAGGAAGGCAGCTACTTGTTTACATCTCCTGAAACCTACGGTTATCTCACCTATTTTTAATGTGTTGACGGACGAGTATCAAAAGAACAATCTGCAATTCAAAAAAGGATTTACCCACTGCAAATATTTAAACCACAGGCCTGGAATCTGTTCCCAAACTCACTGACACAACATCTACACAACAACTAAATCTGAGTTGTTGATGTTTTCTTGCATCATTAATGTTTGAAAAGCAGTGAAATATACTTATATTTTCAGTGTTAGCAAGTTAATAAAGACACACTGTTGGTTATGAATCAGTAAGAAAACACACAGAGCCAAGTACTTTCAGTGTAATAAACCTAATGTATTTGTAATTTCCACAGTCTTGCCTTTCAATAAGACAAGAGGAGTGGTAACTACGGCAACAGTTGTTTACCAAAAGTGAACAGTAGATGTGGCGACTGCTGGAGATGTCACTGTAGTTAACCCAGAATTACCATACCACTACAAGTGTAGTGTGCATTGTTTCTTATATATATATTCATTGTTTCAAATATATATGGGTAGTTAACAAGACCTTTCGCTGTATTTCACTCATCATTGTATCACAAGAAGTTCATTAACAACAAATCAGAGACAGCAGGGTCCAAACGAGCGTTTAAATCATAATATTCAGGTCACATAATATTCACAAACACGTTTATTTTCTGATGACAATGACTTAAAAATAAATGTAATAAACAGAAAATCATTTTGACTCAATTTACAGATTTAACTATGGATCCCTTATTGCACAACACAAACTGCTTCTATAAAGAAATATGACTATTTGCATGTTCACAAACACCTTGGACCAAATGCTATCTTACTGAAAACATCAGGCGCTCTAGCCCCTGCACCTACCAGATGTAATGTTACACATTGCCAAGTGAATTCAGCTACTTGCAAAATTTTAGGACACAAAGTTATGTTTGACAATGGTAACATTAACCTCACCTAATGTATAAAAACACTCAAAGTGCCATCTGTGCACCAGAGACAGAATCAGCCATCTAGTTAGCAGATTTGCTGGTGGACTATATAATGCGTGAGACACCAAAGTAAAGGGAAGTCTGTCAGTATAGATTTAGTACTAACTGTTGTGTATTACAGAGCTAGTAAGAATCACTCATTTATCATTATTCTGTCTGACTGGCATTAATACCATAAGTGGAATAATTTGAATAATTTTGAAATGATTGATAAACAAGGCCCTGGTCTGTTGCTAGGGCAAATTTTTCTGTGTCAGTAATTATATGGGGATTGTTATAGTAAGTAGTATAGCCCACATAAAGGCTAAGACAGGAGGGACGTTTCTGTATCAGCTACCATTATAATATTCATAGCAATAACGTCCCTTGTTACATTGTGAAGAGGTTGTTAGCAGGTGTTACCAAGTCTCATATTTTAACAGTCCGCATGTTAACATTGTTGTCGCCCAAAATAAAAGCAGTGGCCAGTTTCCTCCACACAGCCAAGTACTTTCAGTATAATGAACCTAATGTATTTGTAATTTACACAGTCTCACCTTTCAATGAGCCAAGAGGAGTGGCAGCCACAGCCACTGAATATTATGTTTGAAATGTTTGGGACTTGCTGTCTCTGATTTGTTCTTAAGGAACTTCTTGTGGCATGATGATGAAGTAAATACAGCAAAAGTTCTTGATAAAGTAATTATGGGTTAATTACATAGACATTTCCAGCAGTTGCTACATCTATTGTGGTTACCACTCTTCTTGGCTCATTGAAAGGTAAGTACAGATATGTTAGGCTGTGTGGTATATAAATTAGCTTGCAGACAGGTAATCCATCAAGTTGAAATTGTTTTCTTTTCTTTTTTCTTAAACAGCCTACTTAATGTGTAACATGCTTTGGAAAATTTTGTGAAGTATAAGTGATCTGTATGGAGCTAAAACATACAAAACACTGGTTACTGGCATTCAGAAGTCCCAGTGTGTGAAGAGCTTCAGGCTGAATGTGCTGCTCTGCTCTGCAGGTAGATCTCGTGGGCTCGGAGAAACTCAACAACTCCATGGGCTTCTCCATGTTCTTTGTCGGTCTGGGTTGCCTTACGGGGCCTCCTTTGGCAGGTGAGTGGATAACATCATGGAAAACCTTTGGGAGTCACACATGTGCTAACCTACTTTTCCACATGCACACAATAACAAACACATACAGTGCATATGAACCACATGTGCATGGGACTGCAACCATGACGTTACTTCTCTTTAAATGATTTGTGACACAAAGGGCAAGGTGAAGTTTGTACGCATGTTTCTGTGTGTGTGTGTGTGTGTGTGTGTGTGTGTGTGTGTGTGTGTGTGTGTGTGTGTGTGTGTGTGTGTGTGTGTGTTGGCCCATAAGCTTCAAGTGGGGAGTAAGTGAGTAAAGGGGATCAGTGAAGGGGCTGATAATGAACATATATATTTTTTGGAGTGATGCTTCAGCACATATTTTCTCAGGACTTTGAATTCCTTGCTGTGCCTCCGAGCGTGTCTGCCTGTGTGTGCATGCAGCCACTATGGAGTGTGAAAACTGAAACGTGTAGGAGAAAAACAACCTATAGCTGGTGCCGCCCTCAATGCAGACTGGGATTTTGGGTTTGCTTTGACGAAAATTCAAACAGTGGTTTCTGTGTCAAATTTCATCCTGCCTACAAGCACGTCATGTGTTCATGGCAGGGTTTGAGTCACTTTGTTTAAGTGATGGCAGATTGCCTTTGTTATTCTTCGAGTGTTGTTTCTAATCTGGGGTCAGTTTTTTTGTTGCATCAGGTTGTTGCATATTCCTTCTATTGAAGTCTGACTTATTTAGATAAGCTAAAAAAATACCAGCACCATCAATCATCTGCTCGAAATAGGAACTGGTATGTGAACTAAACCTTTTTTCTCATATGGAACATGTCTCATCATGATAAACAAATATTCACCTACACTTGTGTGAAATCTTTCTAAGAAAAATAACTCCTCTTGCCCTTATTGCTAACATTTGGCCCCAGCTAAAGGGGGGGGGGGGGTTCCCTTGAACCTATTGACATGGTCCCTGCCCACTGTGTTGGGCAATCCCCTCAGAGCTTATGGATTTCGGGGTTGAAACGTGACTAATGACCCCCTTTAGGGTGGTACGGAAATAGCATGTGGCTCTGTTTACCATTCCTGTGGTTCAAGTAAGAAACTGATGTTAGGCAAACTGTGGTTCCTCCTTCAGGCCACAGGTTGTGATAACATCCCTGTCGTCCAGTTCCTCCCCTCAGGAGAGCCAACTGTTTGTTAACTGTCTCAGCAGCAGATGTATTGCGGTCATACCTGCTTTATATTTGTCTCACACCAATTCACCTGTCTGAAATGAAATGTCAATGTGGCTCATGTGAAGAAAACAAATAAGAGCACAGGAACAAAGGAAGCTTCGGTATGAAGTTACAGTACACTGCCACCTGCAGTATAGTTTACAATAGGGTCACGCATGCTAAACATGTGAGTCCTTACAATGCTCTGAAGTGACCTATGTTGAATAGGAAATGTAAAGAGTTTACCTTTAAGAGATTACATAACAATTATGAGGAAAACACGTGTCCTCCATAATTATTTTATAAAAAATTGTGTATGGAAATGCTAACACCACTTTTTTAATAATGTATGTATTATGTTAATATATAAGTAATGGCTTCATTTACTGATGTTTTATAAAGCAGTTATAAACTATTAAGAATGTTTGGTTTGCCAGGTTATGAAAAATATCTTCTGGTGGCATTGATTAATAATCATATCAAATAAATAAATAAAAGTTATGCAACGATGACCAGACAAACTCTTGAAGTGTTTCTGTGTTGTTGCTGTTTTGCAGGGTTCCTGTACGACTACACTCAGACTTACGACTGTTCTTTCTACCTGGCTGGGCTCTGCTATCTGCTCTCCTCCCTCTCCTTGTTCATGGAGCCGCTGGCTCGGCGCTGGAAAGCCAGGAAGAGATTGGATCAGACCAAGAGAGCAGAAAGCAGCTGTAAGACCAATGGCTGTTTCACCCCAGACCGCCTGCAGAACGGCGCTGTGTAGGAATGAAACCCAGGGAAGGCCTTCGATCTTGAACCAGCATGCTCATGACTTGCCGTGGGCCTGCATACCTTGGACCTTGGACTCCAGCTTAAAGTCGGGACCTAAGTGACCCTTAATGTCTGCAGGAGCGTGACATAGGCCGGGGAGAAGGAGAATATGACCACAGTAACATGATGTCTAAGAACATACAATAGTCAGGACGTTGGTGAATAAATGATTATGTTGAACTTTTAAAAAGCCAAAATTTTAGTGTTCTGCAGAATATTTTATCCCCTATTCTTGTACACGCATCAAAAACCGAAGACAAACCCCCTACAGGCCACATCCAGCACATTTTAGTATTAGCATCTTTGCTGCCATGACTTCTTGAGGTCTAATCTAATTCTGTTTTCCAACAATGCAACAACGACAAAAACACTCAGCTTTGCCGTAACATTTAATTGCTGGAAACTAAGCTATGCAGTTGAGCTGGCAACCCTGTCTTGAACTAATTTTTCTGACATTAATGGAGGCATATATCCATGAAGGAGAACTTTTCACCTGCTTTCCTTGGAAGCCTTTACCTGTATCTGTAAAACTGACATGCACTTTGGGCCAAGTTGTGACAATGCTGCATGACATTTTCACAGACCTTTAACTGCCATATAGTTAAGATACTGAGCAACCACACAATTGCAGCCTGCCTCTATGACACAATGTGTAATTTGCTCTACAGAGCCAAAAAGCAGTAATTGCTTCACTAGTATTTTGCCTCCGCACCAGCGTCAGCCAGGGCCGCTTTCAGGTTATCCGTCCTTCCCTTTCTCAAATTTGGCCCAAACATTCATTAAGCCTCAAGGAAGAAGATTGCGGTGGTCAAAGGTCAAAGGTCTCTGTGACTTCTCAAAACACAGTTTTGGCCATAACTCACAAATTCATACTCTAATTGTGACACAATCTAACACAAGTGTCTTAATAGGTTAAAATGATGAAGTGATGACATTTTATATCCAAATGGTCAAAGATCAACTTCACTGGAACATCATAATGTTCTGCAAAAACACTTCGGCCATTATTCAATGCTGTAACTGAGGAAGGAGAGACTGTGACCATGTGTCTTGCAGCTTGTCTGGTTGGCGGAGGCATACAAGCGCGAGGCGATAATTCTAGTCTCCCATTGAAATCATTGGGCAAAATGTTCAAAATTTGAACATTCCTGTCATCTTCAAACATTTTATGTTCCTCATCAACCCATTTCTACTTCACCCTAAATACTAACTTTTGTACTTTAACACATATGTTCAGCTTTTTAACACCTCTTACAGTTTTTCTGGAAGTTGAAGTGTGACGTTATAATGGCTGATGACACTGACCTCTGCCAACGGAGCATTCAAGGGAAGTGGGAACACAGACTAACCCTCCCAATTTATTTCACGCTTTTAAGCCCTTTACATGTAAACTGACTTTCACCTGTCACGCCTGAACTGAGAAATCAACTGCTTTCTGCTTACAGTGCACACACTTGAACTGTCTCCCGCACTTCCACTTCAACTAATTTTCAACTGCTGAAACTTCAGCAGCTTAGCAGCAGACACATTCCAACCGCTTTCAAGTGACATTTAAACTGCTTTCAGCATCTAACGCTTCGGCTGATTTTTACTCTTCAACTGTCCTAACTGACAATCACGGTCGTCATTTACAGTTTAATTTCAGCTTCCATTTGTATCACTGCAAATGACAATTCAACTGCTTTCACCTCTTGCAGCTGGCTGACGTTTCTGTTGGTTTCATGGCGAAGACATCAACTAGAGCTGCAGCTGTTTTCATGATTTCATGTCTTACTCCTCAGTCGCTTTCAGCGGTTACATACAAACTGACAACTCAGCTGCCTGCAGCCATTACACATCAACTGACTGCAGCTGCTGTTAGCTGAAACACTAACACCTCAGCTCCTTTCCGTGCTTTAACTTCAACCCACTCTTCAGCTCCTTTAATCACATTTTAAAACACGATGACCCGTTTACAGTCGATGAACCTGCAATGTTCTGCACAAGAGAGGACACTTCATTTTTTTTTTTCAGAAATTTTGATATACAATTAAAACCTCTGTTGTGACCTTTTTTAAATACCGCAACTGGAACAAGGCCTTTCTCCTTCTGTGGGTCAATAATGACATTACACACTTAAATAGCTGAGTGATCTTCTACTTGGCAGCACCTGGTGATAAGAAAACCTTCACGCCCAGCTCATCGCTTGTGAGCTGTTCTATGCAAGTGCACACACAGAACGATTTCCCTTTGACAGCTCGCTTGCACGCACAATCATTGTAACTGAGAACCCTGTTTGGTCGAGGTTGAAGTGGTTTGATGTTTCCTGAATGTTTTGATCATAGTTGGACCGTCGGGGCGTCGGGGCTGATGAACTCCAGTGAACAGGGGTTTTTTTTTTCCCGTCTGATTCTGTCTCATTTCATCAACAGTTATATGTCTGTAAATCTCTGATCAACTGTGTTAGGAAGATGTTTTACTGATGTTGCCCATATAAATGCACGGTGCCCCGAACTGACTGTTGCCCAGCCTTTACAGTGCCTGCAGGCAGCCAATTAATGGTAATGCAACTTATAATTTTATTGTGTTTATAAATGGAAGCCTATTGGTTGTTGAATTTTTTTTTTTTTTTTTTTTATAGTGGAAGTTTTTGTGTTTTCAGTGGATTCTTTGTTCTCACCACTGTTTGCCTTATAAGGTACTGTATTGTATCTTTACTAACTTCCTGTGATGTCAGCCAAAGACACATTAGAAACCTACCTACAACTTGAAGCTTATTATTAGTTAAATAGCTTGGACGGTGTGTATAATTTAAACCACTATGACCATCCATTGTGCAGTCATTTCCCAGTCTTGATTGAGCATGGCCCAGCAGCCAGAGATGGACATGTGTTTTCTCATGCTGCCCTCTTGTGGCAGAGGAAGGCATCTACTCAAAGAATGCTGTCTCAATTAGTACCAAATTATTCCCCCTCAACTAACTTTCACAATACTGAGCAAGGCTCTTTGTATTGTTTCAATAACGACAGTCATGCACAAAAGCTCTTCTTGGCTCACGAGTTGCATTCACCACCAGTATGCTTTTGTGATTTAGGGCCACTGCATATTTTGTACCATAAGAAATCTTTTCTGAAAAGTATTTGATGCTTTAAAAGTAGATTTAGTTTGGGATTATTTTACTTGTTAGTTATCTGAATCTTTTAAGAAACTGTATGGTTGAGCAATATCTTGAAATACTTTTTATGTCTCTTTGGTAATGTCTCAAACACCACTGTTAAGGAACTGAGTTCTGTTTTGATGGCGTTTGATCTTATGTTCTTGTTGCAGCAAATGCATTTATGGGTGAAGCACTGTTTTATCACTACTCTCGCTCCTGGATTTGTTAACTGATCGAGTTTAGAAAATATGCTTAACCAATCATAGATATCCTGGTACAAGCCCTTAGAGTTCATTTTTAAGCCTTGTAACAGTGTGCACTCAGCTGTAATAAACTGATGTGTGACTCAGTCTGTTCTCGTGTGATTCAGATAACCCAATGTAATAGATGCACACACTCCAGACCGATTCATGTCTCCATGCAAAAAACACTCACAAGTTGCAATAGATTCAACCCATTTATTGACACATCGTTAAGACATACAAACAACAGACATAAAAAAATAAAAATGATTTGTGTATATGATTGCATTCCTTTTCATCTTAGGTTTCAAAAGTAGACCCAGAAAATATCCACTTTAAAGCGTTACACACTTTGTCATTTGATATTGTTAATCAAAGCAAACTTACAGGTTACTTACAGGAGATGAGACCTGATGGTGTGTTTATCAGTGGCCTGGAAACAAAGTGATGCACCAACTGCTGTCCACAGGAGCTCTGTATGGGAGACATGCAAACAAGTTTTCATCCTGACAGCAGTTTACAATGTTAAATGATCACTAATAACAGTTTGAGCTGAAAAACGCTTGTTATTGCACATTAATACTTGTCTTGAGAAATTTAAAAGCTTATTGAACAACATCCAACTGACAGCTTTATACAACAGCAACATAAATCAAGTGGGAAATGTTAATTGACACATTCGTGGCTTCTATAGCTTATTGTTTGTCTGCCGGTAAATCAGATGATCTTTCTTACAATAATGCATGAGCAAACACAAAAATATAATACGGTATCTTTAGAAAGAATTATAGGTAATAATGGTTATTTCAAAAACTTTTGACACTTCGACCTCAATCAGTATTCAACATATCTTAATGAAGAACTTCATGGATTGTTTTAAGATTTATGTGAATGGGTTTTACAAAGCAAGCTTTGAAAATTTTTGAAAATTTCAAATTCCAAATTACAAGAAATAAAACTTTTCCTAAACACTGTATATAAAGACAAAATCACAGGCAAGCTGTAAATTGATAAATATCAGAATCTGGAAGTTTGTTTTTAATGATCTTTTTTCCTTAAATTTAGTATATCTGATTTTTGAACAAAACACAGAGCATCGTATTGCTGCTGCAGTTGTGTTTGATGAGTCAGACCTCATTGAGGATTAAAAAAGAATATTTAGCTGCATGTCTCTGCATTCATCAGTGAAATCAACTGTGGCAGTATGACAAAAAGCACATGCAGCTGCTCATACAGCCTGAGCACACAGGGATCAGAGTAAGAAGTGCACTAACATTAGTGAGGTGGGGGCCACATCAAAAAGTCAAGTATTGACCACAGATTGATTACATTTCTTTTAACAGGATGTATTTTTGATTGGTAACTGGTGGCATGTGATGTATTTATAGTGTCCTGGAGTAGGCCTCCTTTAATCTCATATTTATATTCATTAACTGGAGGTTATCATCTGTGGCCTGTAGTCTCCTAACGCAAAAGACCATTTTGTACCAGAAGCCATTTTCTTCTATAATTCCTTTTAATCACAATTCTCTGACTGGTAAGTGGTGATAACACTTTAGGCTTTAATAAAAAACTGGCTCATACATGTTCCTTTTAGCACGATCAGTAACATCATCTATGACCAGGAGTGTCTTGCCGATGATGCTCCACATAATTGTGAGTCTACTAAGACAATACACTGGCTTGAGGCTGTTTTTTGCTGTTCTGAAACAATTAAGCCTTCATAACTGAATCTACACCAGTTTCCCCACAGGCCACATCATATTAACCTTGACTATAGTTTCTGGCTATTTTTTCCATCAGAGACTTAATAAATCTTCATCAAAGTGAATGATGGGAATTACATTTACATCTCTAATGAAGCTGCAGAAACAACCAAATGTGCAGGTTTTTATGGGCGGCTGGGGAGGGGCGGCGGGCAGGGGGGGGTGGGGGGTGGGGGGTTCAACAGCTGCAGTAGTCGTGCTGCAAAAACTCACCAAATTTAGTCTTTTCTCTCTAAGCACTTCAACATTTGACATAACAGCAATCTTGCAACGTATGTGAACAAATGTTTCATTTTAACTGAAGCTTCTACGTGAGTATTACGTGTCGAATTAAGGAGTAAAAGTGTTGGAGTACATCCATCATATTTTTTGTTGGTGGTGATCAAAATAACACCATATGCAATATATCATTGTGGGCAGTCAATGCTCCTATTATCTCACACTAGGGTCTGGGATTTATGCCAATTGCCATCAGTGGAAATGACCTCAGTAATTACTTTGGAGTGAAACCAGAGTATGCCATTTTGCATTTGTTATTGTGAAACATGTGGTGTTGACACTGTACTTACCACACTGCTGCCTAAGCCACCGATACAGACCTGGCAAGCAGCACTCGTTCTCCTACTCACCATGGTGCCGCTCTATACAGCAGTCATACAGTGATACCAGCTCTGTCCTGGGTGTCTGGTGTGCATGAGTGTGATGTATCAGGTAGCTGACTGTGAGAGGAAGGCAGGAGCTCCATGGTCCTCAAGATGGCAGTGTTTTTCTAGTGCAGTAAGGGGTCCTTCTCAGCACAGAACACAGCTTTTGCTTTCACACCAACATGACTAAAATGGATGGGAGGAGGAAACTGAAAACTTTCTTTCCTGTGTAACGTGGCCTTAAACTTCTAAAGGGGCTTAGGCAAAACAAAAAGGTCTCCTAGAAGAACTTGGGGGATGGTTGGGGTCCGCAGTGTGAATTCCTTCCAGCGGTGTCAAAAAGGGTGAACAATCTGGCCTGTTCTTGTTTCATCTCCATTCTGCAGCAGACCTCAGATGACAAGGGAATACAGCTTCAGCACAGCAAACATGCTTCTTCGCTCGTCTCCTCAGAGAGGGTTCAATCAGAGGAGAACACAAAGATGGGATGGGGGCAAACAATATTCCTAGCTGAGGCTGGACCAATCCTCTTCCCTGAGCCAAACATTAAGTCAAATCAAATCATAACTGGGCAAAATATAATAACGACAAATCAGCCCAGTGGTTCAGCTTGGCCTCTGCAGTGAGACAGCTTGAACTGTAGATGCTATGGAAATTTCAGAGCGGTGTCACCCACAATCTCCCGAGTGGAGTGTGTGACGGCCGGTGATGGAATTTCCTCAGCTCCTATTCAGACGCGGGAACAATGCGCATGAAACCTTTAGCATAATGAGCAGGTAGAACAACAGGATACTGGCACATGTTGCCGTCTGCTCCGGCCCTCGCCTCCCGAACTGCACCGCTGTCTGCATCTGCCACTGTTTCACACTGCAAACTGGACTCTGGCTCCTCGATCCTGATCAGGTGTTCACATGCCAACAGCAGCAGTTGAGGGGTATAATAGGGGATCATGAGGGAGGGAGTAATTTTTGATGGGCAGCTTAGGAGCTCAGAGCAGGCCCGTGAGCAAACAGCGATCCTCACACGAAACAGGGGTCTCTCTTCGCTGGTGCTAAACAAATTGCAAATTGTCTCCCTTTTCGTGTGCAGAAAGAAAATTTCAAGTGACAACTCCTTCGAAACACAATAAGGTATGGCAGCTTGTTTCTTCAATTCACTTCCATCGAAGAAACATGTTTCCCTTCAAATGAACAATTTATTGATAATCGGTCACATTAAGTGCCCAAACGCACTTTCAGGTATGTGAACAGCTTCGCATGGGCTCTATGGATTTTCCTTTCCCATGACATCAAAGTGTACATTGCTCAATTTTCCACTTAAAACAGAAGTCATCACAGGTGCAGATGGGCTACACAACTTAAAAGCTGCCTCATCAGTGAGGACTCACAAATACTAGGTTGCCTTCTCTGCAGAGGTTTTCAGCTCTGCTCTCGTCTCCTCAGGAGTCCAACGTTGCAGTGGGTGTGATGTTCACACATAACAACTTTCCCACATATGAATGTTCTCAATACATATTTAACCAAGGTCAGCAAATTATAATTCAGAGTGGATTACTTTTGCATGACAAACATACAATGGCAAAAGAAAATATGGTGAGTAGGCCTTTGGAACATGTTGGCAGTCGTCAGTAAAATATTCAAATTCAAAATTAGACCTCTAAAATTTAAATTCCAACATCAACAGTTAAGGTACTGCTAAAACTTTAAAATTACACAGACCTACTTGCTGAACAAATAGCAGGTTTTTGTTACTTGGTACCAACATTTTAATTATACTGAATATTATTATTCTTGGAGGAACTACTGGTTTCAGAGCAATAAATGAAACAGACTGTCAATATCAACACAAACTTCTCTAAGCTTTTTTATCCATTACTACTGTAGTTTTTTTTTTCATAGATCACATTACACAACCATTTCTAAGGTAGGGATGCACAAAATAAAATATGAAGTAAGAAATATGAGAAATATGTTATTATTTGCTTTACTATACTATGCGTATTGTGTTATGGGCCGTTCCTTTTCTCACATCTGTTAGTATTCAGCATTCCACAGAGTTGATATGACAATTTAGTTTTACCAGCGCACTGGACACAGTTCATTGTCTATCTTGCAATTTGTTTGTTTGTTCCACAAACTGAGGAACACAATTAAAAAATACACTCAAATCCAAACCATGAACCTGAATATAATTTTTCTAACAGTTGACAATGTAGATAACTGAAATGTATCAGCTGTATCTAGACACTTTTTTATCTGATGACCTTCAAAATTTTCCAACTCTGAGAACGCACACAGGGACACCAGTGTGAGCTTCGAGTCAAGCCCATCAAAATTAGTACACATAGCACAACTCTTCCTCTGCACACCACTCTCCGTTCACCAGTGCTCAGGCTGCGTTGCCTTCATCAGGGTGGTTACCTGATGAAGGCAAAAGACCTTCAGTTAATGGAGCGTGGTGCAATGGAGAAGAGTTGTCCCACATGTTTTGACCGTCAAAATGTTAACAGGGTTCTTTCTCCGAAGAGATTAGCTTTGAAACTGCAGTACCAAATCATTCACTACACCTTTCCTGAAATCCACAAATTCAAAACTGTCACGCTCACCTTTGTATCCATCCATCAAAAAGTGATTATAGTAGAAATATTATTGCACTGTAATTCAAAGCTTTGAAAAATTATGTCTTCTGATTCCCCTCATCTTAAGTACCTGTGTAGGAGGTAGACACAACAACAACAACACTTGTACAATCTAAGGCCATACAGAATGCCAGCCCATAAACAAACATGACCTTTGTTGGGCTGGTATTGTTCAGCTTTTGTTAACACTGTGTCAGGGAGACGTGGATTCAATGACAAAAATAGTTTGCGAGGCCTGGGTTTGTGGTTTTATTGTAGTGGAGGTATTATTGTGTCCACTCCTTGCATTTCTACATTTTCTTTTCCTTATTTTCTGGTATATCTGGATGGATTAGATTTTAAACCTGCAAATGAGTGTTTTCTTTATGACTTATCTCTTCTTAAATTAAATTAAAATTTATTCCTCAAATGCTCCTCATGTTTTACAGTATCCTGACTAAATTACTGCAGGTTTATGACTTTGTGAGCAATTCACCCTTTAAAAAAATCATTTCAAAACCACACACCCTCTCAGTTTTGTAGAAGGGCACTGTTTGTCCTTTTAGTGGATTACATGGCAACATACAAACAAACACTCAAGAACCATACTAGTGTAACCCATAATGCAGAACACACAGCATGCAATAGTTACTGACATACAGCAGATTTTTTTTTTTTTTACATGACTTGAACTTAGTGTGTTCTGATTTTTTTAAGATGCTCCACGAACCACAATCATGACCAGATAGTCCTCTTCACTTTTAGCCAGAGCTTTGGCAGAGGAATCCAGGAACTGCTGGGAGAAATCACAGGGAGGGAAAGCATGAAGAACCCCTGTGTTGTCTTTATCTCTGCTCCCTCCCACAGGCAGGCTGATGACTCCTGCTGCTTGTTTTTGGTTGAGGTAGGACACCAGGTTCCGAAGTGGCCGCTGAGTCGACGCTGCAGGGTCAGACGAAGATGTATCCTCTGTGGTCCCAGGAACTGCTAGCAGAATGGCGTAGCCGTCGGGACCTGCAACCTTGATGCGCCGGGACACCTCGTCAAGCTTGGGCTGGTCCAGACGGAGACGCTGGGTGATCTTTAGCTCGCTCACCTGCCTCCCTGTTGTGCCGTCAATGAGCAGGTCACTGGCTACATTGTGGTCGCCTTCCAGCAGGTGCATGTTGGCTGGAAAGTTGCTGTTCTTCAGCAACAGCATACCCTGCCAGGCCAAACTGAGTCTGGTGCTGTCCGGCTTGGACAGCTGGCCTCCCTTGGCGCTGATCTCAGAACGTTCTCTCTTGGCGGGCCCTTTACCACCATCACCAGCTTTACGTTTACGCTCTCCGACTATTGAAATGCTGCTGCTTGAAGGTCCCTTGTCAGAGAGACTCTGGCTTTTGAGTCTCCGTTCAGCCCCACTTCTCTCCAGGCTGCTGTGACGTTCTCGTGCTGGGGAGGGTCTCTCGCCCCGAATAGGGCGCTCTGAGTCACTGAAGCGGCCTCCGTCTCTGCTGCTACCTCCAGGACTGCCATCCGGAGAAGCACGTCTGCGCCTTACTGTCCTCTCAGTGCTGTCAGGGGAGTGGTCTATGTGACGTCCATCCTCCATTACGCGCCGCTTGCGTACAGGTTCTCGTCCCTGCAACTCTCGTTCCAAAGACCAGGGCTCCCGTGCCCGCCGCTCACGTTCCAAGTGTTCCAAAGGCTCAAAGGGCGAGGCACGTACCCGTTCCCGAATAGCCGGGTTGGGCCACTCAGTTCCAGGAAAGAGTTCTCTCTCCCTGAAGTGAAGCGGCGGTGGAGTCCGTTCCCTGACCCTCAGTGGTTCAGGTGTGGCACGGTGGACAAATGACTCAGCCACCATGTCGAAAGGTGGAATTGGAAGAGGCTGCAGGAACTGTTGCTGGTAGCGATGCTCAGTGTCAGCAAAGTCCACTCTAAGTCTTCTCTCTGGACCCCCCAGTGGGAAGCCCCTCATGTGTGTGCATGCCGCCTGTGCAGCATCCAAACTTTCATACTGAATGTATGCCCAGGTATCCCCCTTTCTGTAGTCAATGGTCCTTATAGTGCCAAAGCGATCAAACTCTCTTGCCAGGGCAGCTAGAGGAACCCAGGGTCCAAGTCCACCCACCCACAACCGTGTGGTAGGAGTTGCTTTCCCATAGCCTATCTTTATGGGGTTGCGGCCCACTATTTTGCCAGACATACTAAGCTTAGCACGGTGAGCCATGTCAAGGTTCTCAAATTTCAGAAATCCATATGTGCTGGTTTGTCCCCGTGTGGGTCTTTTAATGTCCACTTCTGTAATGACCCCAAACCTGTCAAAGGCTCTCCTCAGGTCCGCCTCTGTAACAGTTATGTCCAGGTTGCCTAAAAATAACGTCCTATTGGCTCTTTGGTCATCTTCTGGAGATATAAAATCCTCCTCACGAAAAGCTGCTCGCTCTGCAATGAAAGCCGGACGCGCCCTGGCTTCAAACAGGGCGAACTCCCTGTCCCGTTCCAGTTCTCTGGGCAAAGGGGGCGGCGGGGGAGGGGGGAGCCGTCCCAAGGCCAGCTGCTGAAGCCGGTAGTCTCTATATCCAAGCCCCGTGGGCGAAAGGGGTCTCTGCAAATGTCTATGGCTTTGAGCTGCACCATACAAGTCTCTCTCCACTGGGGAGCGGCTTCTCCTCCGGTTTATGTACACTGCCTCGATTTTCAGCGGCCGGTCGTACAACACCAACCGTCCCCTGGCGTGCTTAGCAGCTCTGGCGTCCTCCGGCTTCCTGAAATTCACAAACGCTATCCGCTCGTCGTTGCTGCGGCTTATCTTAACGCTCACATCTCCAAATTTTTTAAATTCATGAAAGAGTCCGTCCTCTATGTCTTCGTCGCTCAGCTGGGTGCCGAGGTCGCTTATTTTGAGGGTTTTGTACTCACTCTCGGTGCTGGGCGGCTGAACCCGCTGCTCCCCCCGTGAAGTGGTCCTCGGTGAGGCTAAATCCAGCGTCAGGCTCAGGTTGTGGTTTTTACCCACGGAGCTAGCGGCTGCAGACTGACAGCTGTGATTATTTCCAGTGCGGCTATGACTGTCGAAATCCCTCTCTCTCTTTTCACCGAGTAGACTCCTTCTCGTCGAGCCGCCGTCGCTTTTGGTCGAGCTATTCCCATTATTACTCCCACTGGAAACGGAAAGAGCCCCCATTTTCTTGCTGGTCGGGTGGCATCCTCCCCTGTCTCGAATATCGTCCAAGGCCCGGGAGCGTTTTTTAATCGGAGACCGCTCTTTACCTTTCATTTCAGTCCACACAGAGCCGATCCTCGGGGCGCCTGGGGTTTTTTAGTGCTGTTTCTGCAAATTAGTGCAGAAAATTAATGAAATAAAAAGCGGATTTATTCACTGACCCTGCGGCAAAACAACAACAGCCGCCATTTTGTAAAGATTAGCGTGAAGGCCCGCCCCTTCGAGCTGATTGGTTGAAAAGTGGGTGGAAAACTTTAAAGAGTATGTCAATCATCCGCTGAGACATTTAAATAAAAATGTTTAGGTTTTTCACATTTTGATACCAAGGAAACGGTGGACTAAATAACTGGAGTACTACACGAAAGAAATTTATTTCAAGATTTACAATTTCTCTGGGGGCATGTGAATGCATCAGCTGTGTGTGTAACTGTGTGTAACTGTTATGTTGTAGTATTATGGACAATGTGCCTAGTAAATGAGTCATAAAAAATATTCTAGCATTTGACAGGTAACAAAATGAGCACAGTGTAGGGAGGTACAGAGAAACTTTGTCATCTCATTAACACAAATTAGACCTAATACCACAAGGTGGCAGTATTTGAACAGTAGCTCAATAGGTACAGTAGCCCATAAGCCTCTAACTAATCCTTAAAAATGACCTTGGATGGCCACAAGGCCTTTCTGCCTGGGGTAGGTGGACAAAGCAAGCTGGTAATAAACCTGTTGTAATCTGTTTCCTCATACAGTAACCAAACTCCATGCATAACTGCAGTAATTTATTAATTATCAGCCTTTTAAGTTGATATTTAATTAATAGCCTTGTTAAGTAATAGAGGTTAAATGGACAGATTTTCAGCCATGCTATTAGTGCTTGTTCGTGTCCTTGAATACTTTTTAAAGGCGTTACCTTTTTGCATGTACAAACTGAAAGCAAAATAAAAAAAAACACAATTGTTACAACCCACTGATACAGCATTTGGCCTTTGAATTTATTTTCCTCCTATTTTTTTCAAGTCAAGCTATTGCTTTGATGAAGCCAAAATAAAACAACAATTAGCTGAAGTTGCTGTTTCTATCAGCCACCTTTAGCACCTCCTGATAAAAACATTTTGTACCACCGTACAGTAAAATGCAAATCATCAGCTCGGTGGGGCATTTAAAGCTGAAGGACGTTTTTTTTTTTGTGTGGATAATGAAAAGCCAAATGGAAGCAACCAAATACCTCATGACAGACTGTGTTGAACTTGCCTCACTCCACTGTTTGACTGTGTTGGTCGCTCTGAGCTTCCACATTGTTTATCGTAGTGGGACATGTTAATGCTGTCCGGCTACTTCAAATACAGGGATCTGTTGGTTCACAATAGCTGCGCTTCAAGGCTGAGATAAATCTTGTTGAGATCAAAGCTCAGAACGGTGGCCAGCAGGCAGCTTACAGATGTTAATGAGCATTAAATCATATTTTTAGTCCATTAATGAGGCTGCGGGTATGTTCATTTCCAGACTCTAGCTATAGTCTTCACCCAGTGACCCTGACACACAGAGCGATGCTTAGTTAAGAACTGCCCCCAGCATTGTGCAGTCTTAACTCAACAGTTTTCATTTATTTCTGACAAATCACATAGGCCTTTTGTAGTCTGATATACTCAGTGAATACGGAACAAAGCTAATACCACACCACTGTAATTTAAATGACAACTTCAATCAAAACTGATGACCCCCTATTGTAAGATGATTTTTAAGTTATTACAACATTGTGAGTTACTATATTACAACTGTCCTGACAGTGTTCAAAAGTTAACATATCCAATTCACGAAGCCGCAGTTTCCTCTTTTGTTTATGGACAGATAGATTTGATTAACCTGCTGCTTATCCAAAAATAAATATTAAAATTGAGCCCTGATCCACCATCTGCTATTTCTTTAGCTTTCCCAAAGATGGCCATCTCCTCAATCCCTTATCCCTACTGACAGGTCTTCTTATCTTCTCCACTTAATCTGGGATTTAATCAGGGGGACTATGTAACTGCAGTAAGGGCTGCCGTCTCCCAGGGCCTGGCTGGAATTTGAAGCTGTGGGTGTGGAAAGTGTTTCTGATGGGTTTGTGCATTCTTCTATTGGAACCACATGTTAGTGGCTCACACAAAACCCCGACACAGACTAAGGGAATGGCAGCTAATCCGCCCCAGCATGGCTGTCATGGTGAAGCAAGCAAAAGGGAAAGGAGAGCCAATATATTCTGCCGTAAGCCATGTACACTCCTGGGGAGTAAGTGGAGCTTGGGAGGGCTTTGTCCACCAGTGGAACTCCTTTTTTCTCAATTCAAGTTGCATTCTCAATCTCACACAGATTGAAATGTGCACATCTGACATGAATATGCTGGTATTTAGTAATTTACACCAGATGGGATGGTACCATGCAATTCGGTGTTTCCTTGACAATAAAGTAAATTGTTTGGGGTAAAGCACAACAAGGAGATTTCCTGAAAACAATTATTAGGAAAGCATTCAGAATACATGCGAGACTAAGTATGGCACAGAAACATATTTATGTCATGTTCTTCTTTTAAGACAACACACAAAGACAAGTATTTATAACTGGGCCATGGTAACCCCAATTTCTTCTATTAAACTGTAACTCATTACTCAGTTGGTCGGGTTTACCACTGATGCCAGATGTGAATGAGAAATGCCTGCCTCACCGTGAAGCCAGCCGTCTGTGGGAGGCTCTCTACTTTATCATCAATAGTCAAGTGTGGTCGCTCAGTTAGCTTTTCATTAATGAACCTGCCACTTGTTCGTGATACACGAGGTGCAACCTGAAGGCCTCCTGAAGCGAAGCCAAGTAGGCTGCACATGTACGGTCTCTCTGTGCACGTTACTGAACACAAAGAAGCTCACTTCCTGCACAGCAGAAATCTCTATGTTTATGGCAACCACAGCCTGTGAAGCATTTTTGCCTCACAACCACATTCCCAGTTAAAATGTGACACAGACTTTTTGGTTAGCTCTCTTGGTTATCGTTTTCTAAAAGAGTCATGTCAAGGCTAAAATAATTCCGGCTGAGATTGTTTTTGTTACATTTTCATAACGTCTTTTCCCAAAACTACTTTCCTATTGAATAAGACAGATGATTTAGATTGAGGCCTTTATTACTGGTCACACTATAAAGCACAACAGACATAAAACAAAGATTAATATGATAATTACATTTTTTACATGCTTAAATAATTTTTCCTCTTTGGTCTCAGCATTGTGATATTAAAGTAAAACTGGAAACAAGAAAGTTCCTGTTAATATGTTGGGTTTCATGCAGGAGGCTCAAGTTGCCCTGAATGTTCATGAAATTTGTGTTCCAAGATCTTCTGAATCCTGAAACGTCTCCAAGTTGGCTTACATAAATGTTAAGAGGAAATATTTGAGTCATATGCTGAGGTGGGTGTGTACATCTGGGACTGTGCATGGGTCAGGAATGTAATATGCTTTGGCTCAGTCAGTGCATTATGGAGAGCTGGCACTGTTGTGGTCATGTAGGCCAGGAGAGGATGCTGCCTGGCTCTTTGGCTTTCATCCGCAGCGCCACCAGGCCCGTTGGCTTGTACTCAGTCTCGGGCCCCTCGATGGAAGGGGACCCGAGGCCTCCGGGGAAGCCGTGGAGCGAGTAGAGGCCATTGATGCCCGGATGGTGGGACGGGTGGTGGTGGTGGTGGTGGTGGTGTGGGTGGCTGGGGGATGTGGGCATGCCCATGAAGCCCTGCAGGTTGCTGTGGGGGTGAGGGTAAGGACTCATGCAGGATGAGGGGATGGAGTCAGCTCCTAGGACACAACCAGCACCTGAACCACCGCCTCCCCCTGAGGCTGCCCCTGGCCACAGGTTTCCCTGCATCTGGAGAGATTTAGGATAAGATACATCTGGAATTCTGTTGAAATCAACATGACGATGTTTCATGCTCTGCGATGAACACAGTATCAGCAAAGGTCAGATTGAGCTTGTTCAGTTTCGTACTAGTTCTCGTTCTCGCAGCAGGATCAATACGGTATTACAACATGTAAGTCATGTGAGATCTGTGGTGGCCCACCTGGTATGTATCATGGCGAGGGAGAAGAGAGATATCATATGTAGCAGCAAAGTGGTTGCGCACCTCGTGGATCTTCCCATAGCGTTCCCGTTTCCTCCACTTGGCTCTACGATTCTGGAACCAAACCTTTCAAATACAAAAATATAGCAGAACAGGAAATCTTCAGATGACAACAGGTCTTGTTCAGGCCACAGACTCTCTTCTGTTTGTAGTTATAAAATGAGAAGGTGTAAAATGTGAATTAGTTGCCCGAACACACACCTGAACCCGAGCCTCAGTGAGCTCGGTCCTCAGTGCCAGCTGTTCCCGGGCGTACACGTCAGGGTAGTGTGTCTTCTGAAACACTTTCTCCAGCTCCTCCAGCTGAAAGGTGCTGAACGTGGTGCGGTTGCGTCGCTTCTTGTTCTTGCCTGATAAGTCGATGGAGTCAGCGATGGAGTCCCCCTGTAAACCGCCGACTGACTCTTTCAGCTTGCCGCAACAGTCTGTGCCAATCCCAGGATAGCCCATGGCTTTTGGAGCTCCTTTCTCTCTGACTGAGGCATGCAGGGCACACAGAAATGTAATGAATATATATATATATTTAAAAATTGACAGAAATTCATATGGAAATATTCAAACTGTAACATTTTTTTCCCTCAGCATCAAATTATTGTTTGATGGTTTCAGACTACTGATCGGTTGACTTTAACGTACCACTCTCTGTAATTTTTAGAGTGCTGATTCAACTTAAGATTTTGCATTTGTAAACTTCTGCTTTAAATTCTAACATCATTGCAATCTGATCCTCTGTCAAACACTTCATGCAATCCGTTTTATTTGGTTTGTCTGGATCTCATAGCTGCCAATCTTGGCCAGGACACTCTTGAAAATGATGTACTCATGAAAAAAAAATGTTGATCTCAATTTAGTGGTTAAATTAAATTTAAAATATTTTTTTTGTTTTGTTTTTGTTTTTGTTTTTTTTTTTACACTTTGTTGATTTCAGGGAGACTAGGCGGGACCCCGAGGCACACCACAAACAGATCAGCAGCTTTTTACAGGGCGGCACAGATAACATTCATACCTCAAGCCAAATCAGAGCATCCAGAGGATACACCCATGAACATGAGGTAGAGAAATATACAACATTAGAACAGAATAAGCCAGTGCTTCAAGCCAAATGTCTTTGCATATCAGACACTGATGCAAAGAACTGAACGATCAACAATTCGCCTTTTCACTGCCAACGAAATTACTTAATGTCCTTTTTTAAAACCAGAACACTGTCACCTACATATGGATCTGGCACACAGTGGTCAAGACCAATAAACTGTAACTTTACACCTTGTTACAAAATCAAATTCAACTTTGTATCACATCAAACATTTTGTTCTCGAGGTATCACTGAAAACCATTAATCTCTTGCTTGTTTTTTATGCCTCTCAATTTAATTCCCAAACAAAAGCTGCCAGAAGAGGCTGAGCTGTGAGACGCCTGAGAAAATCAACACACACAACACTAATTCAGCCAGGCAGTGTTTTAATTAGATTAGCCCAGACAACCATATTTAGGCAGTGAACTCTCAGTGAGTTAAACCCACAAGGCAATAAGTAAAAAACAAGATTTGATTTCATGTGGAAATACAGAAAAGAAAGGTTTAGGGTCACATTCCAAACAGACATGTCAATTTATTCTATGGGAAACGTTTTTGCAATGTCCAAGTCAAAACATTCACATTAAGGATAAGACAACCAGGATACTGCACTGAAATATATGACATATCTATATACGATAAAGCGCTTGATTGTTTGAATTAATAATATACATTCTGGCCTTTACATTCAGCAGTAAAGGGAAATCTGAAAGTCTTATTTTCCTTCCTGTTAACAGACCATGGAAAGAGCTGTTCCCTCCTGCAATGTTTGGATGTTGTTGTCCATGTTCATTAAGTTTAACCTTGAGCTCCAAAACAAAATCACTCTCCATCTATCTGCAGGCACTCATTCACCGGGGGGGCAGCTCAGACGCTACTCTGCTATTCTCCTGATTCAATATGGGGCCCAACAGAGAGCACTTTTCATTGCAACGTTAATTTCCTCGCGTCCATTAGATCCGACCTCACACCACAGTTCATGCTGTATTCTGCAATATTCTCTGTCAAGATAGCAAACTGCGGCCGCGGGCCATAGTATAGCTTTTACCCTGTCAAGCATCCACATCTGCTCTGCCTCCACTCCAGTGTAATTGGAGATCTATGTAAAATGCAAGAAAAGGCAAATAGAGGAAAAATTTGAAATGTACACGCAGGAACATCATGCTGTGAGCAAGGGGATTAATTCTAATATAAAATAGTCACAGTAGAAATTTCAGCTGCTTCTTTTCCAGGCCTCCTGCTCTTACATTAACGTTTTCAATTCGTGCAAAACACCGCTTCAATCTTTAAAACATGTTTCATCCTGCTCCATTAAAGGACGTAGAACACATTCGCTGGTTTTAAATACATCTGCTACAGTTATTATAACAGATGAATAATAAAAATGCACACAATTAAAAATTACGCAATCTCAGCCTCTTTTGCGAGGGTTGAACCTTTTTGTGCTGCTGGGGGGGGGGTGGTTTAAATGGTGAGGGATTTTTAGTGAGGGATACTTTATTTTATTTTAATTTTATGGAGAAATGACATGCATTTGTATGTATGGAATATTTCGAATCTGAAAAATATGAAAAAGATAATAAATGTTTGTACCCGTAGATACATTTTATATGTTGCTGTAGCTATGCCATACATTTAGAGACAAAAAGCTAATATCCTATTGGAAACATCATACATATAAATTAAAATTTAGCAATGTAGTAAATATATAGTGAAAAACACTATAAATGTAATAAATACAATACAGACATTCAAGCGTTAAAACCCCTCAAAGTGTAAAAGCACAAAAGAAGCATTATTCTTTACGTACTGGTTCCCTTTATTTGTGAAAATAGTGAGAAATCTTTTGTTTAAAAATTTTTAGTTTGCATCATAGAAATCAAGCAATTCCTTGTGAAGCAGTTTTATAAAGATCAATTCACCCATTAATTAAAATGTGTTAACTCTGTATTGCAGTTTTAATAATGGATTGTGAAAAACAATATTGCAAACTAGAATAAAACCTCAAGGTGTGAAAATGGTTGACATTTTTTTTTTTTTTCACATGTTGGTCTGTCCCGCCATCACTAAACTATCCTCCCACTGTAGACAAAACAGGAAGACGCGTCTGCTTTTTGAAGGTGTGTGAACCCAAACTCAAAAACACACTAATGAAGAGTAGTGGGAGGATAGATACACACACATACACACACACTGTTCTGCACATAAATCCAAAGCCCGGCGCATTTGCAGCAGCATTAAAAAGTAAATTAAACTAACACTTAACAATTGTCAGTGCTCAAGCTTGCGTGTGTGTGTGTGTGTGTTTTCTGAGAAAGAGGGAAGGGGAAACCATACATGCCTTCTCTTATTCAAACTTTAAAGAGAAAAGTAATAAAAGTCTTTGAAACAAGACAGCTGATATCGTTATCATAACTAACTGCGAAAAAAAATCTATTGGCTGTCTTTGGCAGGAACATGAATCAAGCTGTTGTATATTATTCTGGACACAGATATCACAAAGACCTTATCAGCGCTCATATCCTCTTTTGCTTTGCAGAATCATCAACACCAATAAATAAAGTGAAAGACCACATCATTTCTTCAGGCTTCGGTTCAACGTATACAGTTGTTACTTTTCTTCCCAAGATGGACATTTGTAGGCAATTACGTCTGACAGTCTTTGAGTCCATGACTGCTTGCAAACTTCAAAGTCCATTCCTATTGTTTTACACCACGAAACCTTTCATATGATGTGAAAAGGGCGGTTGACAGAGAGTATAAGGGCTGAAATACGCTGAATGTTACCCTAAAAAGCTGATAGCTGACTAGTAGCCTAATGACACACCCAACTTGCTGCCAGGCTGACCTTTAACCTCTCTCACTTTACATCAAGCGCTGTCAAGGGAAAGAAAACTTGTTGACATTTTTATCACAACCATGCTTTCCCTTGCATTGCCAGTAAAACTCAAGTAACACATTTGTGTAATTATTAAAACAGAAACAAATTATAATGATTTGAAATATGATCCACTGGATTTGTGTAATTTAATTACTCACAAAATGTATTTATTTTTTTGATTTTATTAACGTTTATTGTCAGTTTTTATTTCTCCATTCATCCAATATTTTTTTTTACAACCGCTTATTCTGAGCAAGGCGGCCATTATTTTATTTTTGAAATGTCATAATTGGAAAAAATATGTCAATGCAAGGATCGTCTGCAGCACTAAAGAAATGTGGGCATAAAATACTTGTTTTTTAATGCCTCTTAAGGATAAACTATCATTTATTAAAATCTTGTTGTGAGCTGTTGTAGGCTAAAGACAAATATATAATTCAGACATATACAAACAAGCCTAGTTCATCATGATGGCAACAGGAGTTGTAGAGATTTTGCTGTTGCTCCTACTTTTATTTTAGTTATTCTTTTTTTAAACTTTTTTTTTAAACTTAAATGATCTCAAACTTACCCTCTGAGCTGCTTTCATAAAACGCCGGCTTGCCGCTCCCCTTCTGATCCTGGTTTATACTGTCCAAGAACTTGCTGTGTTTGGATGGTGAGGCGGGCGGGTTCGCCGGGGCAGCGCCGTGCGTAAAGTCCGCCGCAGCATCACCAAACCTCCCCATGGCGGCGGCGTACACATCCCCGCGCAGGCTGAGGCGGTGAGGGAGAGGAGGAGGAGGAAGGTGCGAGGGTTTCTGCAGCTCATCGCAGGGGAGAAAGGAGCCGGAGCCGCCGTGTTCCAGTCCCGGGGAGTTCTCCGGCGTCCTCCTGCTGGTCTGCGAAGAGAAAGGCAAACAACTCTCAGTCTCCATCTTACGGGTCCAGCGGGCAGGACAGACAACAGCGACTGGGCGCTAATAGTGTGGGCGCCTGAGTGAGAGGTTTTTTTTTTTCTTCTTCTGTGTTCATGTCAAGTGGGTGGGATTTAATAGATCAGAAACAAAGACCCGTGAAACCGGGGTTGGAGTGTGTGTGTGTGTGTGTGTGTGTGTATGTGTGTGTGTGTGTGTGTGCCCGCGCGCCTGTGTGCGCGTGGGAGGAAAAGAGAGAGGAACGGGAGGGGGCGCGGGGGGGGGGGGGTGGGGGGGGGGGTGCAGACGAGGAGAGCAGCAGATGATCGAGAAGAGACGAGAGAGAGAGAGAGAGAAAGAGAGAGCGAGAGAGAGGGTTGTCTCTCGATGTCTACAGCATCGGGCAATCTGATATAATCCGCCAAAAATTCAATCACGTGTGGTTTGTGTCCCTCCAATTAACCATTTAATTCCTATTTCATATATTATTATGGACCTAATCACCAAATCAAGCAGGACAGGAGAAGCAGACAGACACACACACAACAGTTTACACACGGAAAATCACCGAATAAAAACACACCTTTTTCCTGAAGGCCACGATGACACAGTCTGTTATTTGTTTTTTTTTTGTTTTTTTCATTTATTCATTTAATTTTCTTATTTTTATTTTACTCTATTTCATTACATTTCATAACGACTGGACCTAAATGTTTTCTTAACATATGCTTTGTCATACTGAGACTCTCTTCCTTTTCATTTAAATATTTCTGCACGCACAGTATAAACTGTTCCACCTATTACAGCTCATCTTTTTATTTCATGGGTCAGATTTCGATGCATTATTCTACTGCGGGTAAATATATTCTTAACTGGACCTTGCCGCTAAAGCAAAAAGGGAAGAAATTAATTGAAATACGTGCCACATCAAAAATGACCAGTTCACTGGGGTGGTAGCACAAATTCCTGACCATTATAAATGACTCATGTAAAAAAAAAAAAAAAAAAAAAAAAAGAAAGAAAGAAAAGAGGAGAGTAATTTGATTTGGCTACAAAACGTGTGGAAATCAGTCCAGAAGATTGTCGAGGTCAAGCACAATTGGATAATAAATTAAACACAAATTGATACGCAAACAGCTTAATTAAATATGCTAATGATTATAAACAAATATGTAAATAATAATAAAACATGTAAATTAATTGAGATGGTTTATTTAATTGTCCACTTACAGTAATAAATTTTTCGATCGCTTATGTTTTTGAATTGATACAGTAAAAACCATCATTCTCTTTGCAAATGCGACGGCATCCATCGAAACATTTCAAAGCGTATGTGGCAGTTTGGCCCACATCTTATTTCACCTGAGAAGATCTGTGAGAAATTTGGGATTTTGGAGGTTGTTATCTATACAATAAGATATTTGTTTTAAATGAAGAACGTTAAGCATCAGTTATTAATTTAAACAAAATAATTATTCGATCATGTAATCTTGAGAATACACCAATGTGAGGCCGAAATACATGGTTATGACTTACACTGAGATCATAGAGATTAAATGCATAATAGTCATGTTACTGTACATTATCGATGTGTCTGCCCGACTATTACAGCGGTTGTAGTTCACTTCGCCGTTTCCTTGTCCTTCAGCTCCAAACTATGGCGCTGATTTCCTGTGGCTGTACTAAATAATACTGAATGTCTTTCAGAAATAATGGAAAGAGCAGAACAATAGTCATGAAAGTCATAACATTTCCCTGTAGGCAGTAAAATACAGTTTTAATTGATGCAATATTACTCTTAGATTTTTGTGGGTTTTTTTTTTTTTTTACTTGAAATCAAGTAACATTTGTTTTGATAAAAGTCTTTGAATATAAAAACAATAACAATATCTTAAATAAAAGCAGAAAGAGCATTCTTTGTTTATGGCACAAGCTGTGTTATTCATTTTTACCATGAGGCTCAAAACTGACTGAATATCCTCAGAAAGAGTTAGACTCAGCAGTAAGATAAAAGCCTTTTGATACTGACATGTTATCTCCGATCTAGACGAACCTCGACTAAACACAGTGCACTTACCAGGTTTGGGTTCATCTCACCATCTCTCTGGATACCTGAGGCCGCAGGCTGCTCAGCTGATGGACAAGTGTGTAAACATGAGGTCCATTTGGGCTGAAGGGCCTCATAAGCCCCATTTGATTCCATTTTGAGCTCTGAAATATCAAAGTGTCCACACTGCATGTTACAGATCCAAGTGTAGGAAAAAGGCTGTGCAACAAGAAAGATGGAGTTAACATGGCGTGTGAATGATGGCTCCAAGTGAGCTCAAATTCTAGCTTGAAGCTATGTTTTTATGACATTTAAATATAACAATAATCAGTAAACCAACAGAAAACAATTTTTAATCCCTTCTTCATACTCCAATGTGCAGATAAGACACTCAAAATACATTCCTGTCTTTATCTTTCTTGAGACTCAAAAGTGTAGTCATGAGCAAAATGAAAATTTTAGTCTTCATCTGGACACAAATTGTAAAGACATAGCTGCGTGCACGGAAAGGAAGAGCTCCTTTAAGTTTAAAATGATTAGTGACCTCAGATATAAGGCCTAATGACATTTATGAGTAACATGACTTAGATTAACATGTTTGGGTCAGTAGAGCGTAGAGGCTAAAAAAGGCAGCACTGTCATGTTAATCACAACCACAGTGCCACCTTTTACCCTCCCACACTCTGAGTGCATTCATCCCCCTAAACTTGAGCCTAGGTGTAGCTGCCAGCATTTATCAAGCTGTCTGGCTGACCACCATTAAAAACCTCATAGTTCTGTGAGAGGGGAGTATACGTTTTAAGATGTACACACAAGGGGACGCGGATATGTTCCTCAAATCTCGTGTCAAGCATGTCCTCTGTGGCCCGAGGCAGCAGAGCACTCTTGAATTCATGAACCCAGCTGAGTAAATGCATTCCAGAAATGTGGGCAAGAGGAAGAACGTCTGCGCTATGATCTCGGAGCCGCCGCAGGTAACAGTGTTTATATGAATATTGCATCAAGAGAGTATAAAATGTAGAGGATTATGGGTATGTTATTTGCTGAGGAATCAGAGTCTCCTACGTGTCTGTGTAGACATCTGTATGCTGTGGCTTGTTTAATTATACTTGGGGGGGGGCACCATTCATTCATCTACTGAAAGGTCCAACTTTCAGGATAAAATAGACATTGAAATATCTGCAACATCAAGCAAAACAAAGCCGCGGTCCTTTATAAAATGAGCGCATTGTGTTAAATTATCACTAAATCCTACCTCAGCAAGAGATGTGTGCATTTTATGCTCACCCACTCGCAGGGAAAGAAGCGGTGGTTAAAAGCAGGGAAACAGCAGAAAATAGCATCAACTTGCTGTCCATACCATGACCAGCTCCACTCACTGCTCCCTGCGGTCCTAAACCCTTGTCCTCCAAGTCTGTCCTGGGCATGACCCTGCACAGGAAATGAGTTCAGCCTGTTGGGAGTCCCAGGTCTCCCCCCGCCACCTCCCCGCTCTGGGCACAGACAGCATGGATAAAGGTGACCCTGCACTCTCACGGCGCACCCTGCGGCCCTTGGGCTAAAGAGCCACTTCCACCCCTCCCTCCACTACATCCTCTCTGCCTGACTGTCAGTCTGCAGGGCTTTGTCACACCCTGTTACACCTTACATCCTGTCTCTTAATGTCACATACACAGGCTTGTAAGATTGCACACAGGCACAAATGTAATCAAATGAATTAAGTACTCGGGCACTAATTGATTACATACATTCAGACATTTAAAAGGTTATATGGTAATTTAGTGATGTTATAATAGTGCATAATGTTTGTCGCATCAATAGAGAGTAAACAAAGATCTGACCTTTTCCAGTGACAATCTGTGTGATCTCCAAACAGCACGTAGATGGAGAAGTTATTAAGACTGACCTTAGATGAACACCAACATAGACTGCCAGCTAGAATGAAGTACAACTCTGTACTTCATACAAGCTGGCTGTCTTTGACTATCACTGCCCGAGGCCTTTCCTCTCACGTACAGGGTGGCGATTCAACCTGAGGTTTGCATTAGAATAGGAGAAGGATGGCTAATTTAATTACCCGCCATGAATGCACAGAGATGATCCCATATGCAGAGCCAGGGCTCCTCTCAGAGGCCTCCCTCACATCCTCCGGTCTGTGTCCAGAAGTTGCAGAGCCAGCTGAGGATGTGATTGGCAGCTGCCGACCCGAGGGTCAACCGGCTGGAGAGGTGCATTCTGGGAAGCGTAAGATGGTCTGCTGTAGCGAAGGGGGTTGAGGTTTCGAAGGGAAGTGGGAAGTGGTGTTGCTGTCCTCTGTCTGACCTCGCATGAGGCGTCATGGAGCACACTGGAGCCCAGTGAGTGTTAGCAGCCAGCCAGGATCCACAGCCACAACACACAAGAGATGAGCTGGGTATTTATCTGTCAGAAAAGAAGGGACAAAGATTTATACGGACAAATGTTCAAAAAAAGAGAGAAGGATGATGGTATTGTTTTGGTTAGAATTTGACTGTATGAAAATATTATTTTCCACACAGCTCTGCAAGAACATAAGACATGAAAAGTAAAAGTTTTTTCCATTATTTTCACTGCTGGAAAGATCGTGACATATTGAGTCACTCAATTAACCCCCCAGTGATCTTCAAACCAAAAGACCTTCATGTTTGACAGTGTAGACAGACTAACAATGACAAGTCCTGCAGCCTTTGTTAATCAAAATTTGGAAATTGTTCTTCTATGGTTGATTTATCGCATAAGATTTGCTGCTGCAACACATGCTGCGTGTTGTTCTCTTACTGTAGTTTCAGAAATTGGGAACACTTAATTCAAATCCAAGACAGAACTACCGTGACCACTTTCTGGTAAGGCACCATTGATAAAGGGTTCATAAGATGTAATTTATAGCTCTAGTACTGGTAAATAAATCATTTATTATGCTGTATAGATCAGTTATGAGCTATTAATAAGAGAAATT